GTGTGGGTATCCTGCGCAGCTAATCTTGACGGTGTCGGAAAACCAGAGTTGCCAGAGTAAGACCTGATCGGCAGGTCAACCAGAGTGCCAGGGGGTCCGGAATGCAGGGACAACGATCGGCGTTGCCAGTGCACGGGGGTAGCTTGACCTAATGTCGCGAAGAGCGAACACTAAACCAAACCAAAGACCAGTAATGCGGAGCAGATAAGAGCGGCGAGTAAGATAAGAGCGATGAGCGACGAATGCAGATGAAGGCGGAAGCGATGTATTGACGAAGAGGTCAAGCTGAGGAAATACAGAGCAGACTACCTAGCTTATATACCTATTCTACAGTCTACATAGCCGCGATGAGTCAAAATGACAAACAAATGGCGAAACGTCGAAGAACAATAAGAAAGGTCATGAGGCTGCGCAAAGGCTGCGCGAAGAACAAGGATGAAACAATAATGGAACAAGAGAGTGTCAGAATGAGTCAAGAGGCAGTGCGTAACAATAAGAACAATGGAAGTGGGGCGAAGGTGTAATACGAGGCAGTGTTCCATGAGTGAAAGAGTCCATAGAGGGAATAAAGGAGCGAAGGAATAGGGGCAAGCGAAACGATAAGATGCGAGACAGATCAGATAAGATAAAGTGAAAAATAGGGGCTGTACCGGCTGTTCACGACATAATGTCTCCATTCGTTGTAAGGATCGTACTATTGCAAGGAGCTCGCGGTTGTAGATCTCATATCGGCGTTCGGTGGGTGTGAAGGTTTTTGATAGGAAGGCTATCGGATGCCTTTTGCCATTCTCGTCTTCTTGGGTGAGGACAGCTCCATACGCGTACTTGGAGGTGTCACATTCAATCTGGAATGGTCTAGACATATCCGGCATTCTAAGGACGGGTTCTTCGATGAATCATTGTTTCAGGGTTTTGAATGTGTTATCACATTCCTCAGTCCAAATGAACTCTTTTTCCTTGGTTAGGAGTTCGTTTAGGGGTCTGGCGATCTTGGAGTATTTCATGATGAACTTTCGGTAAAAGTTTCCGAATCCCAAGAAGGATCGTACTTGCTTCACCGTTGCGGGGGTGGGCCATTCGGCCATCCCTTTGACCTTTTCTGGGTCCATCATGATTTTGTCGTGTTCTATGATCATGCTGAGGTATTCGATTCGTGTCTGAGCGAATTGACACTTTTCGACTTTGAGGAATAGGTCGTTGTCCCTGAGTTTCTTGAGAACGATTTTAGTCATGTGTTCCAGTTCTTCGATGGTGTTTGCAGGGATGAGTATGTCATCCATGTAGATGATCACCAGTCTCCCATCGATTTCAACGATGAAGATGTGGTCCATCATTCTTTGGAACGTTGCGGGTGAGTTACAGAGTCCGAAGAACATGACTAGTGCTTCGAAGAGCCCTTTCTTGGTTTTGAATGCAGTCTTCCATTCGTCCCCTTCCTTGATGCGCACATTGTTGTATCCCCACCGGACATCGAGTTTGGTGAAGTATCGTTTTCCTTTCACTCGGTCCATGATGTCGGATATTAGAGGTAATGGGTAGGCGTCTTTCACCGTCCATTCGTTGAGATATCTGTAATCTTGGCATGGGCGTTTCTTTCCGTCTTTCTTTGGCACGAAGAACATGGGTGAGGCCATTGGTGATTTTGAGTGACGGATATATCCCTTTGCCAAGTTTTCATCAATGAATTTTGTGAAGTCTCTTCCTCCTCGGCCGGTGTGAGGTTGTAGATGGGAAATGATTTGGGTTTGAATCCTTCCTTGAGATTGATCGCGTGATCCCACTCTTTCCTTTCTGGGAAACGATTTGATGCTTTTTCAGAAAAGACACTTAAGAATTCGTGAAAGGCATGGGGAATTTTGAGTTTGAGATCCTCTTCAAGAGGTGGTTCGTAGTCGGTATCTTTTTCTTCAGTGCTGGTCGCGTTGAGCCATTTCTCGTTGATTTCCTTCGTGGCTTTTCCTTCGATGAAGGCGAGGAGAAGGTCTTGATCGTCTTGCTCCATGGTCGGAGATATCGTGTTTCTCCATTTGACCTCTCCTCGTTTCCAGTTGATATCGGGGTTCTCGTTCTGTAACCACGGCATCCCGAAGATGAAGTCCCACTTTCCTAAACCTGTGACATAGATAGTATATTTTTGTAGTTGTCCATTGATGTTGATGATGGGTTCAATCGTTTGTGAGATGGTTCCCTGTTTGTTTGCAGTTCCATCTACGTTTCGGACCTTGATGGGGTTTTTAAGTGTTTTTGTAGGGATTTTATATTTGTCAGCTCATCCGGTGGTGGATAAATAGGTCATCCGCTCCGCTGTCGATCAGGACCGTTGTGTCGATGCCACTATCGGGTATTTCAATTGGTAGAACGATCGATCGTTTGTTTCGGGTGGTGATCGTCGCCGTTCCAATTGACAGTTCGGGGACGATCTCCATCGACCTTAAGATGTCCCCTATGAAAAATCCTCCTCGGATCCTTCGCCCTTTGTTGTGGCTCGAATGTTTGAGCTTCCCGAGTCAGGGTGTTTGGGGCAAGCTCGTGTTGTATGTCCTAGTTGTCGGCATATTCCCGCATTTGGCTTTTGGACAGGCTCGCGCCGGGTGTCCCTTTTCCTTGCAGATGAAGCATTTCCCATTTTGTGTGCCGGATGACTGCTTTGTTTGGATGGGCGTCAACATCCATGGCATCAGGGTCTTTCTCCTCCCGTTTCGCTGTTTGTGGGGCGTCCCTGTAGACCACTTTGACCTTCTGTTGGGGCTCACTGCGATATTCCCGTTCTGTTCGCCACTCTCTATCCACTTCCATGGCTGCGTCCTTCCACTCTTGGAGAGTGGGTGGAACTTTCTTCTGTTCCGCGGGTCTGGCAGCGAATTGGGTGGCGACCCTTAGTCGGAGTTCGGGGTTTAATCCAGCCTTGTACTGATCCAGGGCCCATTCGTCACCGTATCCGGTAGCTTCTGCGTAGCTGTTGAACATTCCTGTGTACCAATCACACAGTGTTCTTTCCCATGTGAAGTTGCTTGAGCTGCTTCTTTGCGGTTTCCTTGTTTGGGAGTAGGCAGAAGTATTTTTCGGAATTGATTGATGAAATCTTCCCATGACTGGTAGTACCCTTCCGGATCAGTGAAGGTCGGATCCGTCTTCTGAGCTTCCTTCGCCTCAAGCCACTTTTTCTTGTATTCGGTCATCTTCCTATACTCAATGGACGCCCAGTTCCGGGTTTTGTCTTTCTCCGTTTCATTCACAAGTGCGACCATGTATCGGATTCTTGCAGTGGCTTCATATTCGTTTTTACTATCCAAGTATGTTTCCACTGCTTGAATGAAGGTTTCGACGTCTTCTGCTTTTCCTGAGAATTTGGGTGGTTTGGGGATATCCAACTTGGGTTTGGATTCTTCCCTCGCCTTCCGGGCTTTCTCCAGAGTAAGGAAGTCGTCGTATTTCTTCAACATTTCTTCCAAGCCAGTTGCCATCTTTGCAGTGCCTCCGCTAATTCCTTCTACATGCGGAGCAGTTTCCGTGAGGGTCTCGCTGATTGTGATGATGGCTTTGTTGGCTAGTCCCCAGATCTGATATAGGATTGCTCCTACTCCTATCAAGAAGACTATGGTATGGACTTCGGATAGTTTTTCCGAAAGTCCGCTGGCTAGGGCGGGTGTGGATGGTAATCCGGAGAGTTGTACGATGGTCTGCCAGGCAGACTGAAATATTTGTTCGGCCATAGCTAGTCGTTATAGTGGGCCTTGGAGGTTTGAGACTTCGTTCTTCTGTTATGGACTATACGTGATACAAGCACGTGTCGTCCAGTACTCAGCGACTTTGTGGTCGATGAATCAACTCGTGACTACGTCAAGAGTTCTTCGCCTGTAGCTTTGTGAACTTCGAGCTAGACTTTGAGTGATAATTAAGGATATTTGTATTTGCACTGAGACTTGGTATAGCGTTGTGAACAATTAAGAACGAAGTGAGGAAACTAACTAAGAGAACTAGAGAGTTTATATACTAGAAGACGTGTGTTAACCATGAGGCGTAGTCCTCATGGATAACATGCGTATTCCGCGGAATGTATGTAGGTTTTGGTGTGTTTTTAATGAGTATCAGTCAGCAGTCATCAATGCGCAGTAAATATGAGTAAGACGATGAGTTGAGATGAAAAAACATAAGGTGGAAATGAGGTAGGTATAGTAATACAGTATAGTAAGCATATATGTTCGTAACACCGAGTTTCCTTAATCCAGGCTTTGTAAAGCCAATGCCATTGGAAATTATGTCCAGGTCGGCGCCAGATCTGTCATGGATATCTTGGATATCTTGCTTAGTCTTCTCTGAGCTAGTGACTCGTGGAAAATAGACGTCCAGGCTTATGTTCGGCATCAATTACGAGAAGTGGGAGAGGACGAAGGTCCCGGCGAATCCGTTCCTTAGTCGACCCACCCACTACATCGCCTCGCCTCAGAAGGTCTGCGCTATCGCCTGATAGTCATGGACCTGGAACGTTTGCCTTTGTGTCGCGGAGCCCGAAGAAGTCAAATAAATATCTGTATCAATATCAGTGTACTTTTATGAATCTTGTATGCGTGCAATCGTACTTGCCTTTTTGCCATGTTTTCTGTCGTGCCGAGGATGCGATAACACATCCAACACAAGGGTGATGTAGCGTGCCACAGTCATCCACACCAAGCCCAGGTCTTCGATCCAACGGTTCCTCCAGTCACTAGTCTTATCACGCTTGAGACTTCCCTTCTCTGAGTGAATGATACTTTCGAGCCCGGACGAACACGGAAATTGAAGAACATCTCATTTCTCTGGAGCCCATTGAGCAGGGGTGAGAACGATGACATTCAAGCAGTGCCAGGATTTCTTTCAATCTTCCCATGGCCGTGTTCGGCTAATCAACTCAGTGTGGAGCCCTTCACTGGTTCTCTCCATACAGTCAAGTACATTATTCGAGTGTGAAATCAGTTGGGAAACTTGAACATTGTCTACTGGCCACCACGGCCCTTCGCTCCCTAGCTCTTCAAGGTACTAAGGCCCGGCATGAAATAATAATCCCCTCCTCGAGATGTGACAAAGAACTCCTGCTCGTAATCGTTGGCGGTCGGATGCAGTTTCTTTGCGATACCCGCAACCTCGAAGCGATCACCCTCCTTGTTCTTCACCTTCATGGTGACATCAAACTCGGCGTTGGGACTTTCATATTCAGGTGGGCTGAATTCCTCGGAGTAGAAGGTTCTGGCGTTGTCGTCGTCGATCACATTACCTTCATCATCAATAGTCTTCAACGGTGTCTTGTCATATTTAGGGCCCCCAAGAATTGGGTCTTGACCTTCAGTGTGAGATCACTGATCAGTCTCACGTCGAGGATGGATATCGTGAGGATGGAGAGAAACATACCAGTCTTCTTGGGCAAGAAACCGATCGGAGGGAAGAAAGAGTTGTTGGCGAATTGCGTGGTTTGGCGGTAGAACCCGTTCTCAATAGAAGACTGGTAGCAAGCAAAGAGGAGTCCACGATCACACTTAGCAGATTTCTTCTCCTCCGAAGTCATCTTTGCCCATTCTTGTCTTTCCTCGATGGAGATCTGGGATGTCGCCTGTTAGCGAGGTGGGAAATCTGCAGCCGGAATCGCAACCTTACCTCTGGACCGTACGGAATGCCAGCTCGAACAATCACCGAAGCATCCATAAATTCTTTCGTAAGGTGAGGACCGAGGTTTCTAGGCGCGGTCTTGCGGATGTGGGCGGAGAAGGGACAACGCCCATAACTCTCGGAGTAGTCAAAGTTGTTGATCTTGTCAGGGTGGAGATATTGGCGGTCTTCTTTATACGGCGATAACGCAAGCGGAACGCCCTTGGAATCATTCCAATGAGTGACTGGAAACAGACGGTCCAAATCTCTCATAACTTACCGACTTGAATCGGCCAACCATCCGAGCGCCGAAGAGTGTCTTCCTCTCTTCGTCTGTGAGATAGACACCATTTCCGCGCTCGTTAGCAGGGATAGAACGCCAATTCTTCTCGATGTAGTCTTCGAAGAAAAGGACGTTTTGCTCCAGCTTTCTGAAGACTAGAAAGGCGCCATCTTTGGTCCACGACGGACGCTGAAGCGCAGTGGGAACGTCGAGAACGGGGTCTCCAGGGTACCCCATGATGATCACGCCAGGCTTTACGACGCGCTGTCCAGGTCGTGCTTGTACAAGACCCCTATGACAAGAAAGGGTTAGAAGCACGAACGGTTCAAAGAGTTGAAATGGCCCCTACTCTAGTGCAGGTTGCGAAATGCCGTCCCGCCATCCAAAAAATTCACCATCCCCACTACGAACGCGACCTTCGTAGTTTCCTAGCTCGGTAATGGAGCTACCAAATATGTCCTTAATGGCGTTCGATTCAGATAGGCAGCTCTCCTGGGCTGTAAAGCGAGGTTCATGTTAGGAATTCGTCGATTATCGACTGAATGTAAAGGATCACACTCACATCCAGAGCAGATGATGAATACGCCATGGTTGTTGCCGCTAACAAAGGCCTCGTCGTACTCGGCCATGTCGCCCAATTTCGCCTTCTCGTTGATAAGTGGACCTTGGTCAAAATGGGGATCGCGAAGCTTCTCCATGATACCAAGTGTATTCAATCCATTCCTTGTGAAGCCGATAGCATGGGAAGTTATGTTGAGATTACCGCCGGGTCTGTCATGGATATTTTGGACATCTTTCATAGTCTTCTTCGAGTTGGTGACTCTCGGGAAATATTCGTCCAGGGCTTTGCGAAAGTCGTCAGCATTGTTGATTGTGAAGCATAGGAATCGCTCCCAGCGCTAAATAAACGACTGTTAGATTTGACCTTAGCATAGAATCAACGGTGTTCAGAACCTTTGGGAACATGTAGTAAATGTCGCCCTGAACATTCGCCATGTCAGGTAATTGGCCCGGAGTTCTACCAGGACGGACGTCGACCGGAACTATGGCACGTCGCTGGAGATAGGGGAGTTTAGTTGATGGGACCTGCATCGCGCTGAAGAGAGTCGAGGAGCTTGGACTAGGTGCACAGGATCTGGTATTGGGATGTTAGAGAATCAGGACAGTAGTCGTTGAGCTGCTTTAAGTATACCAAAACAGGGTGCTCGAAAAATGACATCAAGTGGGTATCCCCCGTCTCTTGGCGATCTTCTAGCCAAGAGCCAACGAGATTGGACAGGCGGAATGTAGCGAGATACACCACCGAAGAGGCATGTTGGTTCCATAACGAAACTCTAAAGGCCCGGCGCATTCATCGTTCATTAATTTCGCAATTTGGAAAAAATTCTGGGGTTCTGTTTACGACAGAAGGCACCAGAAGTAAGGGAGAGTCGCTGCTTGTACAGTGGAGCACCGGAAATGTTGGCATTCACCTTGCGGGGTAGGTGCGGTCCCAGCCAAATTCCACCGGGAAATCGGACAGCGTGGTTCGTGCGTTGTATGGGCAGCCTCCTTCCCGTAAGTCACCATCGATGAGCGCCCAGGTCTTCACGTTATGCATCAGCGATGTCTTCGAAGCTCTTGGCCCTGGAAATCTGCGCCATCGCCTGATAGTCATGGACCCCGAACGCTTGCCTTTGTGTCGTGGAGCCCGAAGAAGTCAAGTATCTGTATCAATATCAGTGTACTTTTATGAATCTTGTATGCGTGCGATTGTACTTGCCTTTCTGCCATGTTTACTGTCTCGCTGAGGACGCGAGATCGCACCCAATACTGTAGCCGAAATCTAAATTCCCTTCAACCCCGTCGCTTGAGTTCGTGTCGATTAATGCCGAAGGTAGAGGTGACCGTCATCCACACCGTCGGCTACCCCTACCGTCACCCTTCGCGCTTGAGCTTTCCCTTTCGAGCCCAGACGAAGACAGAAAATTGGAAAACCATCTCATTACCCAAAACCCTCTACATAGGAACAGAAGAACCAGCCGTCCTCTCCGCTGCAGTACGCAAACTGTGACCCAGAGAATCCATTGAGCACGAGAACGCAAAAGGGAGATAAAAAAAAAAACGCACCTATAATCATCTCCATTCTGCGTGATATATCGCACCCAAGGCAGAGCCTGGTACCCACTCTTCTCAACAATCTTGAGGTACCGCACTTGAATCCCCGAAACCGTAAAGTACGGAATCTCAAACTTGACAGTAATCGGTGCACGCTTGTCCATATCAGTTTCTATACAGCTGTCGGTACGATTGCGCATAACAGAAGCGTAAAGAGAGAGACGCACCTGCTTTGACACTGGGCAAGCCGAAATGAGCCCTCATCAAGAACTCGCGACCACCTCCAAGCTGCTTGATCTTCCAAACAAACGCAGACTTATCGGGCGCGTATTGGACGGTGCCAGTGGCAGCCTGTACGACGCAGGATCAACAACGACAATTCCATCCCACAGAACACAGCACGCACCCTGAACTTGGGAATATCAGCATCATCGGGGACAGGGACGTAAATCTCGACATTATTGGCTGTACTCCGTCGTTGGAAATGGGCCTTGACTTTGACGGTATACTCGACCCTGCTGCCACGGTGACTCTCAACCGCAGCTTCGACCCAAATCAACGGTTTCACCGGTGTTGAGAGACGATAGGACATCAGTTCGAATTCACCATCTGGTGGGATGAACGAGATTGTACGGTCGTTTTCGAATCGCGATAGGCGGACACATTGGTGGAATTTAACGTCTTCCATTTCGATGGCTTTGCCTCGCGCAGCTGGTTGGTTGATTGATCAGTTTGAGTAGGCGACAAGAGATGAGACTACGCACTTCGACCAGTACTTTCGAACATGACTTTATCGTTGAGACCCAGCCTCAACTCTGGCATTCCAGACAAATAGCACTTCATCTTGACTGCTCCCAAGATCTCTGAGCGAACCACGTTGCCGTTGGCATTGACCTAGAGCTGGGGTTAGCGCCGAACCAGGCAATAACTGCGGAAACGACGCACCAGCATATTAACGCTCTCGATAACATCCAAGAAGACTTCGTTCTTGCGATATCTGATGCCCTCTGTTCTCCAAGACACGGCGTTGGTAACAGCCATGGGCGGTCTAACCTGGACCTCGAGTTTATGCGACTCCTGGGTGATATACTCTTGCAAAATCTTGCTCTCCGTCGTCTGTGGGTATCCAAAGTCCATCATCTCGTCCATAAGTTCGTAGATGATCACGAAATTGTCGCGTATACTCTCTTCTTCCAGCGATTTGAAGTATTCGATGAGGACTTGGACGAGGCGGTGGAGGAAGATGATGATTTCTGCTGCGTTGCTGTTGCGTTTGGACATGGCGAGTACTATCAGAATGTCAGTATTTAAATGTTTAACAAGGATAGATAGTTACGGTATAGGTTTGAATGGCGAATGTGCATGTAGTTGACGCCCTGACTGGAGAAACATGGGGTAACCTGTTGACCCTCTTCCTCGATCTCGAGAACGAGAGGCAGAAAACGTTCTATGTAAGAAGGGGGAACATCGTCGCGATATGAACGCTGGATAAGTGGTTTTCCTTTGAGGTCGAGGATTGCGATGAGACTGGCCATGGCGAACTCTAGTCAACCCGTTATAGCTCACGTAACCACCAAATATCACTCTCATCAAATAAATGTGATTGGGTATCTAACTAAACCATCCTCTCTTCCCCGTATTCTTGGGCAACAACGGACTCTGTTCAGAGGCTTCTGCATGGACAGCAGGCTCGTCCGAAGGCTGGGTCACAACCAGCGCAGGGACAGGATTCTCAACCGAAACAGGCGCGTCCAACGGAACGCCAAAGTCATCAATCCGCAGCCGCGCCTGCCTCCTCTTCCAGAATAGACACATTACCAACAGCATTCCCTGCATGACCGCTGCCACCGCAAACGTTATCCAACCTACAACCGAGATTAACCCAGACCAAACATGAGAAATGGAAGGCACGCACTCGTCCAGTTGGTTCCAGGTCGCAGGGCGATACTGGTCACCATGAGGATCCCGCCAGGCGTCTGGATGCACATCATCGGGATGCTCAAGGCACCCACGAGCTTCGTTCGGTACGTGTGCAGCAGCTGTGGGGCATACTGCACACTCGCAAATACAGCAGCGCTAACCCCCAGGAACCTGGCCCATGAATACGCCGCCGGTGGAAGGGTCGAATCCGCTCCTGGTTCAATGACGCTCGTTGTGAGGATAAACGCAGTCGTAAACGCCGAGACAATACTACCATCCCCGTCAGTAAAGCCCCCTAATCATGCAGAAGCCACGTACAAATGGAGAGCAGCAGCCCACGCAAGTACAATCGACCACTTCCATTCCGGACTAAGCGCGGTCGATTTGACGACCAGAACCGTATCCTGCGTCTGCACTTGGAAATCTTGATTCAGGTACTTGAGATTCTCCGGGTAGTAAATCATATAGAGCACAAAGCTAAACAGTACGGTTAGCTCCAGTTAATAGCGCAGAGAACGGAACGCACATCAAGCTAAACGCAACCCATTGAATCGAAAGTTGCACCACTCCCGCCGAAATCTCCACACACGTCCCGAATTTCTGTAGCCGACAGCTTTAGTTCCAGCCTACACTTCGAGTGAAGCAACGCACGACGACAGAACAGCACTTGAGCAAACCAGACTGCATAGTCAAACTAGAGAAATTACAAAGTCAATTCCATCGCGTCACTTTTGGAGTACAGAGGCCAACTCACATATTCATCACAGCAGCCCCAGCAGAGGTCGTTCCAAGCAGCAGGAACAAAGGACTCAAGCCCTCCGACGACTTGGCCTGGATAATCCTCAGGTGCTACACACAAAGTCATCTTCTGCACCAACCCCACACAACAGACAGCAGTACCTGGGGCAGATAGGATATTATCAGGCCACAGCACAGGCCAAACGTTAGCATAGCAGTAAACCAGTCATGTTCCTAAAGTAATGGGTTAGTTTGAATCGTATAAAAAGACATTGAACTTACGATATCGCAGCCTTTGCTGTCCAACATGTTGCGACAAGCACAACCCCTGCGCGAACCATTAATGCCCCCGCTCCTCCCATAAATGGTGCCAAACGCTGACAAATTGCACAGCCACACGCGCGTTTAGAACGCGTGCACTCCTTGATCCGAGCCCCTATTAAGCGTTTTACTTCCCTGGTCGCGTAGTGTAGGTCTTGTGCCGGGACAGACTCGACCCATGTATCTCATGCTTTCTTCGACTAAGCACATGTCCGCTCTCCTTCTTCTAGCCCCAACCCTGACTGCAGTCAGACTTGCCAGCTTGTAGTTCAATGCATTTCTCCTGCTTAACCCTGCTCCAGATATACAAAGCTACATAGCGTCCAAGCAGTGCCCCTTCTAGTTCCACAACCGCTTTAAACTCCCACTAACTCCGGACACATTCATGTCTCCTCCAAGCCCACCTTCTCTCCACCTTCAAGTTCACCCGAGTCAAGCTCCGCCTGTCCAGACGGCACTGAATCAGGGTAATCCAAGATATACGGCCCCACCGCATACACAACACGCCGAAAATGACCATCACAGCACCTCGTAACTTTGATCTTTAACAAATGCTCCCCGAGAAACGACACAATCCTTCTCAACGACAAGCGGAAAAGTTGGGGACGAAATGGTTCAAAGTAGGTACTACCATCGCTATGGTATTCACGGTTAGCTGGAAAAAATAAGGATCAGAAGCGCGTGCAGAGTGATCCCAGGTGCAAGAAACTGACCTTTGGGGATGGCGAGAAGACCAATCAAGGACATGGGGTCATGGTGAGAGCACCGCACCACACCTTGAATGTTTCCAAGCGAGATATAAAGAGGGTAGAACTCGTTTTGACTAGCAGAGTCCAGCGACACTGCGCTCTCGCCTCTACCAACAATGACAGGCGCAAACATCGCACCCTTGAACTTCGGGTTCCGACTAAGAACATCCTTATCTACACATCAGCGAAAAAAAAAATCACATCGAGGAAACAAGGAGTGAAACTCACAGCCTGATCCCAAGCCCAATTGGCAGACATAAAATCCGTGTACAAGCGTTTACCATCGGGTGTGCTTTCACGAAATGGGACAAAATCCATGCTTCCGTCAAAATCTGGACATGCAAGTTGTTTCTCCAGGATCACCAATGGGTGTCGAAACCAAAGGTCGTACTTGTTCGTCATCCAGGAGGGTGCGTTCTGCGACCGTCTTGCACCATGGTACTCCACCGAGTAGGAGACCCAAGCCCCGTCCCTGGCAGGATCGTCGACCACGACAGGGTAATGGTTAATCAACTGAACCAGCTCGTCTTTCTGTTCAGCTGACATCTCTGTCCTGAGCCACGTAAAATCAGGGAGAGTGAAATCTGCATGGGATGGTCTTGCAGGGTTGGTGGGTGACATCGTGGTTGGGGGAGAGTTGAATAAAATTACTAAGAATGTTCGATTGATGGCCGCTAGGTCATTTACAGAAGATAGATTTGCAAAACATAACTTAGTACTTTAAATAGTGTCTACAATGTCCAATAGCTTATCCTACACTACTCATCGACTACCCTTAAACTTTCCAGATAACGTCCGTAGCATCCTCCTCAACGACTTGCTTCTCTTCTCCACATTGCTCTCCTTCAAATTCACACTCCTCTCCAGACACAGCCCTTTGACCACCTCTCCCCACTGAGACACCTTGACACTCTTCACAGTCGGAACAGCCGTCCCATACCCCTCCTCTCCATCCTCATCCTGCGACCACACGCTCCTCTCATCATCCATAGCACCACCACCATCCCCAAACGCCGCCAGCCTCAGCGAAGGCGGAGGAGGATCATCATAAACAAGCACATGCCTCGCCCTATCCGCAATCTTCTGCCTGAGCGTAATCGAATACTCCGAAGTCGGAATGGCAGGTAGAGGAAGAGACCGCGGTGGCGGCGGCGGCAACATCGTCTCATCCTGCGAAAGCAAGTTACGCGGTATAGGTCTTCGAGGCGAACGAGGCGGCCTCTGCAACACCGGCCTCACCCCCTCCACCTCCGCCCGCCCCCCGACAGAACCGGCATCCGCATTCCCGCTCGAATCACTCATCGTTCTCGAAACCTGAAGCACATCACGGCAATCGAGGCTATCGTCACTAGACCCATCGCTACTGGAGCGTGTCAAACTCGGGACACGCTCCCTCCCGCTATCACCACTAATCGACGCGTCAGAAGCAGATGCTCCTCCCTTCAACAGCGACTGTGGCGGAGCCTCCTCATAATCGTCAATCGCCGTCGTAAAGGACCGACTGCTCGTACGCGCTTCAGTAGGGGGTCCAGACGGCGGCGGCGGTGGCTGGAGCCTCGACGTCGACGCCGACGTTGAAGTTGAAATCGAACTGGAAGCCAAAGTCGAAAGAGGCTGCGCAGCCGACATCTGTCGCTGTCGCCGTCGATGAAACTCTTTAGCAGATAGAGGCATAACGACGTGCGACGCTTTGATTCCTAACCGACTGAACCGAGGGATTTCAGCAGTCGGACTGAACGTCATCCAACTCTCGTCGGAGCGAAGAACTTCCGGACATCGGGTGAGGAGAGGCGGAGTCGAGGTCTCCTGTGACGGACCATGGAGCGACCGTGCTCGACGCGTGGGGGTACAAGGTGCCGATCGCTGTTGTCGTTGCTGTTGGGGAAAAGGAAGGAACGTATCGGAGCGGTGCGGTGGAGGAATAGCGGTCGTTCTCGCGGAAGGATGTGGCTTCCTTAATTTGAACACCTTGCGGCCGGGTTTAGAAACCTCCGAAGAGGTCGAGGTTGAGCTTGTCGAGTAATGGGAATGGCGATCCTCCAACACGGGTGTCCAATGAGGGGCGAGATTGTTGCATGCTTGCGATGACTTGGAACGCGGGGGCAGATGTCCACCGTCGGGTTTCGGGAGATCTGCCAGGTTGGGTGTCGAAGAACTGTTAAGGTGGCTTCGAAGTTGTCGAGAGTCATCGTGAGATAGGGCAGGACCGGCCAACGGTGAAGACCGTAGCGGTCGACGTGTGGCCGACGCCATGCTCAGCCTTTGATTATCAAGGGAATGTGATTGTGTTCGTTGCTGAAGAGGTAAAGGAATGGGAGGTTGACTGCGCGAAGGAGTGGAAGGCTGGGGGCTGGAAAACGAGTGCCTGAAGATGTGGTCCTCGGACCTGGGCCGCATCTGAGAGGTCGGTCAGCACCAAACCAATGAACGTAAGCCTCCGTTGGGACTGACAGAAGTTGGACGTGAACGGTACGCCATTAATCCACCAGGGAGAATAATCGAGGTCGATGATGGGAAGGGAAGGATGGGTGGAGGTCAACAATGACAGACGCGTCTTTCTTTATTCGACCACGCCTTGTTGAACCAACGTTGGTGCCGGGGGTTGTTGGAGGAACCGAGGAAACAAGAAGAGCGTCCGTTAAAGTAGGTGGACCATTCAAGAGAACTAGTTGTTGAGGTCACCAATTATGACAACCGATCGGGGGTCTTGGCAAGTGGAACAATACTTGCCCGGTGTTGAAAATAAATGGGTTGACGATTAGCTTCAACGGCACATGCTAGCCAACGACACTCTGTCTCGGACGCCGGTAGATTGCGAAAGGCTAACACGCACTAGACGGAGTTTGGGTAAGCGCTTGGAGCGATGGAAGGTGACGGAACTACCAAGGCTTTGTGCTCTTCTAGTAAACTTGAGACATGGCCAAAGAACCGGATGCCGACGGAATTGGGACTATCAGCACATCAAGCATCATAAACAATCTGAAATCTTTGTTGTTTGTCGTCGCTCCCGGCATTGATATTGTCAAGCGCTGGACTGGCGGAGGTGATGATTGTCGTAGCCTTGGTTGCTGGTCCACAAAACAGCCATCAAATTGAGGCGCGCGGAAATAACAAAAAGGTCTTCCCCGAGAGCGCGACGAGTTATGAAAAATAAGGAACCCTTGATAATGCACGCGACGCGGAACGAATAGGATTTGAAGACTGTCGTCATTTTAATTGTCCAGGGGACTACTATAACGGGTCTAGATGATAGTGTAGGACCACACCGAGTTGCGTGTTGACAGTCGGCATTAACCAGATAAGCCCGGGGCTCTGGAGGAAGTAAGAATACATCGATGGGGCATCGTGTCAGAAGTTGATTAGTGTCGAGTGGGTGTGTGGCCTGGAGCAACGAGTCAGCTTCCCTCCGGAGGGACGATAGATGTACTTACCATCCACAAACATGTTTCTGGTGGCCGAAGGAAGAGTGATGGTCATTCCATCAAGCTCCTTGGTGATTTTGACCTGGCAGCCTAGGCGGCTAGTGTCAGTAAGCCCAAAGGCCATATCAAGCATGTCATTTTCATCATCGTCAGGCTCTGGGAGCAAATCATATTGCTCCTCAGGCAAGATAACATGGCATGTTGAACAAGCTACAGACCCTTCGCAGGCTCCTATATGATGGCCCCACGAGGCACGGCAACAGGACAAGGGCGAGATATGAAACGGTCGGGGGTTGGTGAAGCCGAAATGGTTATAAGCGTGAATAACGCGAGAAGCGGATGACGTCGGAGGCACAATGAGAAAACGCGCAGCCGTTAAAAGAGACAAAACGCACCTTCCAAATCGATGTCATACTCATGGGCAATAGCCAGAATGTCGTCTCCCTCGTTCGCTTCGACTGTTTTGATTGGATTGCCCTTGGAGTCTTGGAAGTGGAGCTTGATTCTAAAGGTGAAGTGAGAAATGATATTCAGAAGCTAGAACCAAGTATCATGGCGCACCCACCCAGTTCCTGGTTCTGGTCTGTTGATCCCACCGTGGTTGAGAACTTGGAAACGCGTCAAATTGCATACTCCTGTGTGGATTCGATCATCGTACCCGTTGAAGAATGCAGGGAACGCCTCGAGAAGCCTAGCCACGAGTTTTCCAAGCTGTTCAGAGTGATGCTCGGTTGTCGTTTCGAGGTCGTTGCATGATAACCAGCAGATGAGAACCGTCGTATTGAGCTGGCTGGCTTGCGTGACGCATTGGGTGATCTGGACACCGAGTGCCGCAATGGCTGGGACCACCTGGCGCTGTTTCGCACAGCCTTGGACAACATTTCTACAGCATGGTCAGCGTTCGAACGACGACGACGACGAGGGTTTGGAAACTGGACTGACTGGAGAAAGAGATGACGGTGGATGACAAACTCGGAAAAGCCGGCGGCAATGGGGCTCTGCACGAATTGTCAGCAATTGATCTGGATTTGATCCGACTCTCCGACTCTGGCTGGCGTCTTGCACCCATTTGTCCTGTGTACTATCAAGCTTCGACTATACCTCCGTTTCAAGGCAAAGTGGGATACTATGGTTTGCTACCCTTTGTAGTGTTTCGGCAACCTCTCTTTAGGACAATCAAGTCCGCGGATTATAACCAACTCTCAAAACCTTCTCAAAGGACACCTTCCTCTTCGTTAAGATATGCTTTCGGTATCCTCGACCTGTCACGGCTCCCTTCAACATCTCCCCACTTTATCGAAGTAATTGGTACGTTCCTTCCAGCATATTCACCCTAAGTGCCCGGGCAGCTGCCGAGCATCGACACTACATTCCAAAGAGCCATTTCATCCAGCGAGGGAGGACGTGCGGAGATGACAGACGTCCCTGTCTCCTGACCAACAGAAAGAAAGGAATGGAGGAGATTGCCCGACGTGGGTCGACGTCTGGCGCGGCGTAAATGCGAGGGCCATTCAGCTTTCGCTTCGTGCCTGTTCCAGAAGGGTCATGGAAGGCCCAATCTACAAAGTCACAGAGTTTGGGTCTGGGACTGCAGAGAGGAGCGAATCGTGATGAGGAGCCTGTAAACAAGGTATCGCGGAACGTTGCAGGAGGGGGTGATCCCGAGTGGAGTCGAGGTCCCAGCTTCACTGGATCAGCAAATAATATCTTGAATGACTATTCCGTCCTACGTGAAGGTCTGAACTAACCGAATTCAAGAATGAACCACTCACCACGACGGAAGATATCGCAGGAGTGGAGACAATCCCCGAGCGACTTGGGCAGCGGGTCGACCAGCAAACTCGCACAAATGAGATCCATTGCACCGGTAGTGGGTGAACGAATCGACGAACTGAATCGCCTTGACCTAATGCAGACGTGGATCCCCGAAGAACGTCGAACGCAATACCAGATGAATATTGGACGCCTCGGCGCAGACAATCTTGAGAGAAACGAAACTCTCCTTGCCAGACAGTGGCATTGGATTGCCTGTCCGAATATCGACAAGTTGCCGGGCAAATGATAGCCCCAGGACAGTAGTAATTGAAGAACCTGACGGATGGTCGGAGGCAAGTGTCGGAGACTGAACGGACAATCAACTTGGGGTGATGGATTCAGAATTCTTGTGACTCAGGGTTGACCTTGTTCTTCTGGTTATCTGGCATCTCAAAGAAGGGCGAATCAGGCTCTGGCTCATGGTTTCTACCTCGGAAAAGAACGTACATCGCGAAGGCAACAAGAGCAAACCTTTTTCGAAGCGTTCTTTTTCAGGGTCCTCTCTGGGCTTCCAAACTCAATTGAAGCTTAAAACTTTGTTCTCCTTGGCAATGACAATATCCCAGCAACCTCTAGTCAGTCCCTGGTAATACTGGACTCATCGGACACTACAAGCCACCGCGATAATTGGGGCGGGGAATAGGATCTTCAACGATTCTGGGATGTCTCGCAGCGATCCGCAGAAAAAGCGCCTCCTTGCCAAAAGACGTTGTCTTGAGAAAGAATAGATAACCGATGCACGTGAGAACGCGGCCATACTTCTGGCTCTCCCTTGGTTATTTGCTTTTGGATATGCCTCTCCCCCCTTCATCTCCAGTTCCCCATCTTCCCCATGCATTCCAGGTCTCTTACACCCGCCCTTTCCCTATCGCCAGAGCCTGCCCACCACCACCACCACCACGCGCCACCACCGTCACGTCGGTCAGCCACTACAACCACCACCGCCAACGTCCAAGTCCCTTGGGTCGACCCCGCCAGACTCCCAAACTGTGGCGACACCTCATCAATAGCCGGGAACGCGCCAGACTACATCAAACAGCTCATCTACAACACCTACATCGGGTACGGCGTGGGCGATGAGGATTGCTTCGGTTCAAAGGTCGGCAGATCGGTCAAATTCGTCGAGGTCAACATCAAGAGGAAGCATGATCGAAAGAGTCGCCTCGAAGCCACCACAGTTGCTGAAATCGAGGTTACAAAACGTATGATCGTGCTTTCATTGTCCCACCACAGCATTCTCTGACGACTGGGCCCCAGATATGCTAAATGGCGCAGGTATGCTTCATGGCGGCTGCCTCGCGTACATCGTGGACAAGTTTGTGTTCGCCTTCATACTTTGGCAAGGTTTCTTACTCTCCTTCAGCTGCTGTAGTACACCACTGGTTGTGCTGGGTCTCGTACAAAAGAGCAATGGTGTTGGCGTAACGCAGTCTATGAACGTCTTGTTCCATTCACCCGCACCTCTGTGAGTCTTCTTAATAAGAGGCTCCTGCATCTACGCTAATCATCCTCTTACAGGGGCACCATCCTCAAAATCATCAGTACATCAGTCTCATTAGGCGGGCGAGTCATGTCTTCTAGATGCGAGGCAAGTCCACCCCAACCAACTTTCCATCTTCCTCCCTCTCGCATTCCAATCACTCATCTGCGCCTCGTTTCTAGGTTATCGATAAAGATTCGGGAAGAATCATAGCGTCCGCGTTCTTGAGCAAAATGCAACCGGGCATGGCGAAACTTTAAAGGTTATTTTCAATTCGAACATCAAGCTACACGAACACGTTTTGATCTAAGTTTTCAATTACATACATCGGGTTTGGGGCGAACAATTTTATCTTAGAGACAGTCCGTTTCTTGATTTGTATTCTGACAAGAGGACCCTTCCTGCGACACTACTGATCTGTAAATAGCATTGTGACAGATGCGGCTAGTACGATACTCCTCTCGCACACTCACAAGCAGCCTGGGATCCGCCATTACGATCGCCGCAAAGGTATTTGTCTATTTGACTGCTTTACTCCGTCTCAATAGCGTTATCTTGCCAACTTGGTACCGATCGAGCGGCCAATGTCAAAATGTCCGCTCGGCGCTCGATTAAGCGCCCGCCCTTGACCATGCTATCGGCGTGGGTTTCGACACGTTGCTGTCATATTTCTGCGGAGAGTGCGATTTTCTTACCCTGAAAGCGTGTCCGCGTTTCTCGGTTTCTCCCCTGGTGAAGGTAAAATCCTCTGCAGAGCGGTTGCACGGTCAAGGGTGCCGGTGATGAACTGTCAACGGAAATCTCCTCTTTGTCGCCCACAAATCACCTTAACAGACATCTCAGATCAGAAACCAGAGTAAGATCCTCACCAGACGTAAAAGCCGAGTCGTTGACGAGTAAAAGGTCGTTCTTCTTTTCTCCATCCTCTCGAACCCATGTCCAGTGCTCCCAGCACTAGCATGTCGTTGGCAGAGGACGGAGCAGTGACCTGGTACGTTCTTTATTCCTTCGTTTCCTAAGTTTGACCGCAGGGAACGCTGACTCTGACCTCACAGGCTCCCCGGGAACCGTGGCCCCAGGCTGCCGCTTGAGTTAATTGCCATTATTCTCGAAGAAGCATACGCAACAGGTTCGAGACAGAGTATAGCGCGCCTTGCTGGACTCTCAAAGGCCTTGCTACCCATTGTACGTCGCCTGATCTTCAAGGAGATCCGCGACATATGCGAGATTTTTCATCTGTTCCCCAATGTCGTCCTCCAATCGAGCGACCCCGATGATGACTATGTCGACTGCAACTCGATTCACGGCTGGGTCTTGTTCAGGAATGTGTTTGTGAGTGCCAATGTGGTCTGGGTAACCGTGCGGGGCCTAACGTTCCTTTCCTCCGTAGCCCGTCAACCTGCAGGCGGATATGATCTGCAACGCCCTAGGTTCTAAGGAAGTCCAGGCTACCCTGGCCTATGTGGAAACCGTGGGCATGAACGACAAGGGGCTCTCCGCAAACACCTTGCGCCTTCTCCAAGACTGGTGCCTAGCGTCGCAATCCACACTCTTCCCCAACCTCCGCGCCGTTACTCTTCCGCTCTCCTACGGGGGCGAGAACGGAGGAATCTACGGTTCTGCGTACTACCCAGACCTCGTTCTAACACTTACCGTCCGCGAGCTCATTTTTCGCCTGGTCCTCGAGGCCCGCACAAATCCATCTCCGTCTCCCCCAACGAATGCCGCGTCTGTCACCGCGCTCGCAGAGAAAATCACCTCGAGATCCCCGCACCTCAAAGCTCTCTCATTCACCACGCTAGTTGGTGGGTACGACTATGGCGGCCCATCTCGGGAGGTCTTCAACGCCTTCTTCGATCATCTCCCGGGTTCACTCCCCGCCCTCGAGTTTTTGGATGCCCGCGGCCTCGACTTGAGCTGGAACTCGGTCAACGCGTTGCCTGGCTTCTCCAACCTTACCGAGCTCAAGCTATTCATACCAGGCACGTTCGAGTGCAGCCTGAGCCACGAGTCTCCACTTCAAACCGCCTCCCTCCCTTCGATCGACCGTCTTCTTTTCCCCAACCTCCTCCGCCTCAAGATCCGTTACGCGGCTATCAGTGCTCTCCTGCACTTTATCGTGAACCTTCGAGTGCCCCAGTTGCACAAGCTCTCGCTGACGCAACGGCCGGTCGCTTTCCCCGTCAACAGCACAGGCAACACATCTTTGAAGGACCGCGAGCTTCTCAAAATCCTCGAACATTGCGGCTCCAACCTGGATAGCTTCGCGTATCGCGGCGTTGATAGACTGGTGGCCGTGAATAGCCACAATGAGGTCGACACGCCCAACGTCACCTTGCAAGGAGTTCAGGTCGCCCTTCAACATTGCCCTCACCTGACGCGCCTCAAACTCGCCTGCGATTTTGCCGCCATCTGGACGCAAAATCTCAGTTCCGATCCGATCCACGATTCCCTTGAAAGTTGGGACCTGCGAAACAAGGCAAACACGACTGGTTACGTCTTTTTGAAAAACTGGGCAACACATGCCTTTCCCAACGCGGCCCTTTAAGCTGTAAAGTTTGAAGGTGACGTCGCTAGGGGGTTGTATATTTTTTCTCCTAGGGTGTTTAGGAATCGGACTTTTGCATATTACATACATCTATACCCCGAGGCTTCATTCACGTACATATCGTTAACCTGTATTTTTGAAACATCATGTATAGCACATCGTATATCGCTCTAGCCTAGGCGCCGCTAATCAATTCCATGCACATTCGCCAGAGATACAGCCCGATTTCCCGACCCTGACAGTGATCAGTGCCCGATCAAGCGCCCATTCTTTGCCTGTCCGCTCGATCCTTCCTACACCGCGCTCTCTTGATATTAAGGCAAATTGACACGGCGTTACAATGCTCGCATTTGGCAACTGATTAGGGTCCCATCCAATGTGGGTTAGTGCAATCTGCCCTGCAGGGTGTAAACTCCGTGACGTAACAGATTTGCATTGCTTCTGGCGGGCGTAACCACAAAATCCTCGTTGACAGTTCAAATTCCAGGGTCCTTGATCTTCGAAGAAGGACACACTACAGCACCGTGGGGGTCTTTGCGGTCGCATTAACGTCATCTGGCCAGCCGACTCGTGTCGACTGGCAAACCGTCAAACGGTTTACACTTTTCACCGACCTTGTCGAGCTGAAGCTAGTGCTCCCAGAGCCCTCGACTGAGCCCCCGGAACCACTTCTCGGCATCTCTCTCGCCTTCCCTGCCCTCACGAGGGTCACGTTATGGTACGAGGGAACCGATTCCCTGATGCACCTCGTACGCAACCTCAAGGCACCCGCCTTGGTTGAAATGGCCTTGGTACAGGAACCCGTCGCTCCCGGATTCATGGGCGACGGCAACAACTCACTTCGAGACGACGAGCTTCTGCGCATCTTCCAAGTCACAGGTCGCCAAATGCGCAGCTTCTCATACCAGGCCATCGAGAACGAGACCTCCAACAACATGAATGAAGTCGAATCGCCCAACCTCACGATCCGCGGGTTCAGTATCGCAATTCGACACTGTCCTCGACTGAAGAACCTCGAGCTTTCTTGCAACTTGGGCACCATCTTGACAAATGATGGGGTGCTTCACAATAACCTGAAGCTTTGGTCACTGAGGAACAAAGCTGATACCCTCAGTCTTGAATTTGGTGCTCTCCGTAAGTGGGCACTCACCGCCTTCCCCAAGGCGACCCTAAGACTTCTCAATGCTTCGAACACTTGAAGGTGGACAAGGCCACAGGTCACATTGGCACCCATCTCAACCACCGCGGACAAGTTTGCATATTATACATTTATACCCCATATCTCAACCACGCACATACTATCTGTAGTTCGACATCAACAACATGTATATAGTTTGCTTGGAACGGACACTACCTCGTGCATATAACAAGTATATCCTCACATCTTCGCAACATCCCGAAGTCTCCCATCAACAAAAGGTCGAATAACGGGCAAACTTCTTTCGCCTTCGTCGCCCGCTGCTCTCAGAACATCTTGCTTGGCGTCCAAAATACCTGCACCAACTGCTCCCTCCAATGGCGGAGAAAGGCCGTACAGCGCACACTCGGCGCATTCAACAAGCGTGCACTCGGACAAATGCTTCTGGGCTCTACTTCGTTCATACGGATCAAGCAGTCCAACGCGTTTGTGGTCGGCTGCCGAAAACGCTGCTGCAGCGAGTTGGCCCGCTTTCAGGGAATCGAGAGTCCTAGTACCCTCCCGCGAATCCCGATTCAACAATTGAAGACCTGGTAAAAGTCCAATGGTTAGGATAGCCAGAAGGGACAACCGGAGGATAAACATACCTCCCAAAAACTTCTTGACTAGTTGGTTTTTAGGTTGTCCATTCTCCGCATTGATAACCAGCTTTTGGTCCTTGAGCATCGTATAGCCATCTCCTCCATTCGCAAGGTACTCTCCCGTCACAATCAAATATTTCCTGTCGCTACTCCGCGCTACAGGCTCCTTGTCCACCAAGATGGGTGTTCCGTTCGGCGTAAGCTGACTCGACTCTTCGAGTAGCCAGATCCCAAGCACACGTTGTCCAGGCTCTCTCCGGCTGTCCCACTCAACGCGGAACCCAGCGATGGATGGAAAACGCCTGGGCCGTACTCAGATGCGGAAGATAGAAGAGATTGGTGATAGGAGACATACCCTTCTTGCGAAGGCCAACGGGACAATCCCGACTCCATCGCTTCCCAGAGCGTCTTTCCGTCAACCTCCATCACCACCACCGAATCATTATACGGGAACATGGTCTTGAGATCACCCAGAGACAGTCGACCTATACCCAAGCACTGTTTATCAGCATTTCCCGAAGCCACCCGTCGTAAACAGCAGCCGTCTCACCAGGTGAATAAACACGATCACCCCGGATGTCCCCACTATTCGAAAGCGTTCCGTCCGCCTTTCCGTAGCCTTGTCTGACTAGAGCCTCATCGTACGCACGACGAACGCAATCGCAAACCCAGTTGGCAATCGGTGACTGGTAGTCCAACTGTCATTAATTTGGGAAATTTGGGCAATGAAGTACGTTCACTTGCCTCTTGTGTCCGAATGTACGAGGATCGAGTGTCGAGCTCCTCTTCGATAATACAAATGGGCTCCTTCAAGCTATCCTCAATGTACTTGACTTCCTTGTCATAGATATCCTTGATAGCCTTGTGCACGGGTGTCTCTCCTTTGGTGGTATACCGCTTTCCTTTCCGCAGGTCAGCTTCAGCCATACGCTCGATATAGACAAGAGACTTACCTCGAATCTCCTGTATGATCTTCCTCCTGACACTTTCAGGCGGCGCATCCCGAAGCGTCAAGACAATGTCCGTCAAATCCTGGAAATCAGTGCCACTCTTCACCACCAAAACATCACCGAGGTCTTCCTGCGCATCCTCGAGCGGAATGTTCACATCATATCCATTCCATTCAGTCACACCCTTTGAGATCCAATAGATGTGGTCGTGGCCTCCCAAGAGAAGATCAACGCCATGTTCCGTGGAGATATCCTTGGACGCTTGAGCCGTCGGTGAGAGGGCGAACACTTCCTTGGCCAAAGTGATATCCTAGTACAAAGTCAGGCGCCGCTTCCGTCTATCCGAGGAATCTACTGACGTTTGCAATGCTACAGAACCTTCAGTACAATCCGAAGCGTGAGCACAGAGAATGGCGTACCGAGAATGGGTGAGAGCAATAATGATGTCGCATTTGTACTCTCCAGCAGGGTCTCGAAGCTTGACGGATAAGGACCTAGCCACCTCTGCCATATCCTTGAATTCAAAGTTCTCCGGCCATCCAACGATGGTGGGGATCCAGTCCCTAGAAAAGTCGGTCAGTGATGGTGGAGAATCCTGGGATGATTGAAACTTGCTCTTCAACTAAACCAATGAGGCCAATACGAACACCCGCCCTCTCGAGAACGTGGAACTCTCGCAGCGGTTCAGGAACCTTCCCGGTATTGGTATCAATGATGTTACTGAGGAGCCAGGGCTGTTGGGATTGGTCTGAGTTTGATCTACTGTTCTAGCGGTAGGGAAACGGACAAACGCTGATGTCCCCAACAGTGCTGTGAGCTCAGGGTAGCCTGGGGTCGGTTATGAGCTCGAACTCGAAGAAAGCCCGAACGAGCAGTAACGTACCAAAGTCGAATTCATGATTGCCTAGCCCAAGAGGGAGGGGTCAACCAGTCTCCTATAGGTAGGCGCCCTGAAGCTCACCGACAACAGCGATATCGACGTTCATAGCATTGATAATCGGAAGCTACGAGGCCAGGGCTCAGATCAGCATATGGATTGAAGCTTCATGGACTAGAATTCGCACCATATGCTTTCCCTTTGTAATCGAACTCTCGATGGACGGAGAAAACAGGTCTCCTGAGAAGACTATCAGGCCATCCTTCTTCCCATCCTCCCTATTCTTCCATTTGGTCGTGATACCCTCCAGCAAGGTAGCAAACTTGGTGACATCGATGGCTTCCCCATTGACTTTATGTTCTGAAACCTGGTACACGTCGTTGAAATGGGCGATATTCAGGGTGGTGGTTGTCGATCCGGCTGAAGAACCAAAAGGAAGTAGCCAAGATAAGGTAGACTTGAGGGTGCTCATGGTGGTCTAACTAAAGGGCTGCTTCGAGGTCCGCTCCTGAGGCGTGGTTAGCCCCGTGTTCCGTTCCGGCGCGACACATCAGAAACGAGGTCAGACAGAGGAGCTAAGTCAAAGAAGGTTTTCATTCTGCGGCTGAAATCATCGTTATCCAAGAAGAGGAGTCGATTGATGGCATTGATGGCGTATGCAAAATACGACTACCAGTCTTCTCCCAGTCATCTGTACATTCTTCCCGGACGCATTCTGGCTCTGCATGTCCGAGGTCAACCATCCGTCGTTGTCCCATGGCATTTCTTACGATGTTCGTGTACGACATCATCAAACAGGGCTGCCCGTCACTTGCACGGGCCTGAGCTCAAAAGCACTGGTATACCGAATCCCTGGAGGCCCGAGAGCTTATCGTATCACAGGGGTGCCGGGTTTGGTTCGTCGACATGGGTGAACGGTGAAAACCAGTTGGACTCCACGTGTCAGCCAGCTGGAGTTTCCCATTTGGACATCTTGTAGATCTGAATGATAAGAGCATAGTACACTGCGCCTGCTTGAGACAGGGATATTGATACAATTCGCTCACTGAGACAAAAGCACGAAATAAACGACGGTGTGGTTGGTGGTTGAACGTCTTGCGTCGTTTAACCCTTCCCCATTCAAAATGGTCTGAAAACGGATTTGGTGGGCCAAGACCTCCCAGCATCTGCATTCCAAGTCTGGGCGCCTAATCATAAGTCATGGACATGTCCAATGGTCTTACAGCACAACCAATCGCCTTCAGCTCCCGGACCACCAATGTGACCGCCAAAAAGCCCCAGCTCTCCAGAAACCCATTCCGATCGTCGATAATATTGAAAACATGGGCCATGGAACCTAGAAAGACATGTTCATAAGTTAGACGCCCAACGCGCGCACTACTAGCCCTCTCGACTTACCACTTCCTACTTCTCTCCATCCTTCACGGGAGCAGGATCCAAAGGAACAGCCGTCACTTCAGAATGTTTGAACGTCCTCAGACCAGTCCGAACTATTCGAAGACGGGATTTGCAGTTGGGATCAGGGCAGGCGATTTCTGCATCCGTCGACATCCAATCGTTCGCTGCAGTATGTCTTTGCTTGGCCGCTAGAAGTGGAAGCACAGCGCCTAATATCACGGTTATGAGCATCATCTAAGAAACACCAGCAAGGGTCTGTACCCAAAGAATAAATGGAGAACCCCTGGCCTGGAGGGAGGTGCAACATCTCTCCTTGCAGGGTAAAGTGATCTCCCTCTTTCGCACCGCAGAGAATCCTTTCACCAGGGGGACATATCACCTCGACCCTCAGGTCATAGAGTGTGAAAGAGTCATCACGTTCCGCAGTCGACATGAGTGAGCGAAGCAGAGAGGGATGTGATCGATAATCGCGGTATCAATTCAAAGTCATGCTACACTAGATTTTACAACATGATTAGTAAACGTATCCCAAGAGCTTGCCTCCAACGTTCTTGCGACGAGCCTCCTCGTGGTCAAGGATACCTGAGGAGGTGGTCTAGATAACGGAATTGTGGTCAGCTTTGGCAAATACAGAACAAGAGTGACGATACGCACGAGGATGATGATACCGAAGCCACGAGCAGGGAGGAGCAAGTTGACCCAAGACTCGATCTGGGTAACCTGGACGTTGAATCGGGGAGAGATGACACCGGTCTTGTTGAGGCGACCATTCAACTGAACGACGATCTTGCCGGCGCGGTGGTCGTCGATAATTTCAAACTCGCCGATGTAGCCTATTCAAAAAAGATTGGGTTAGACGAAATCCATAAAGAATGTTCAAAGATGTAATCCCATAAGTGAACTCGAATCCGTGGATAGACGAGGAAACACGTTGTTTGGTTAACAGGGATAGTTAATCTTTCGGAGCATTAAAACGAAGGGCGCGTAGGAGATTTGCGACAATCGTAGTTATAACTCCGAGAATTGAAATGAAACTGCCCAATGAAATGTAACTCACCATGGCGCTGCATGACACTCAAGAACTTGACAACGACTTTTGAAGAGGGTCGGATGAGGACCTGTCGCTTGCCGCGCCTCTCGGCGTTGACAATGTTGTTGAGGCAGTCGTTCTAAGTCCAGTCATGAGTTTTGAATAAAGATCATAATCACGGCTGCTACTCACAAGGACGGAGATTCGGACCATTGTGGTTCGTTTTTAAAAGTGGTGTCTGGGGCAGGCAGAGAGCGTGAGCGACGAGAATAAACCCAGTCTGAGTGTCGTGCTACGGAAAGCGCGAGTCAAACGGGCTGCCGGATACAACCAAGGCCATTGTGAGTGACTGGAGCTGCCGCCGAAGAGACACACAGACTGCAACGAGAACGCGATATTTACCTTGAGGAAGTTGGTGGACGACGACGACGACAGCGACAGCGACGAGATGCAGAACCTTGTCTGCCCGTCGACAAGTCCCAAAATCTGGAAGCTCACGTGACCGGTGGCTGGCCAAAACTATACAGCGCAACCAAGCCACCGCGGCGATTGCCGACGCGCGTGTGCGGGGACTGGAGGTTTGTGAAAGCTGCGCCGTCGTCGTCTAGTCCAGTGTCCAAGCCGCATTCTTCATCATGGTGCGTCTATACGCAACCCCTGCAAAAATCACGATCTAACGCTGTACTATAGGGTCGAGTTCGCACAAAAACCGTCAAAAGGGCTTCTCGTGTCTTGATCGAGAAATAGTGAGTCTACACAACGAACAGACGACGACGAGAAGAGAGAAATTGACCGCCAAACGCAGCTACCCCCGCCTCACCCTCGATTTCCACACCAACAAGCGAATCATCGATGAAGTCGTGCGTTTGATCCATGGCGTTATCATGAAACTCTGGTTAAAGTCCATTTCATAGGCTGTCGTTCCCTCCAAGCGTCTGCGCAACAAGATCTCCGGCTTCACCACCCACTTGATGAAGCGAATTCAAAAGGGCCCCGTCCGTGGTATCTCCTTCAAGCTCCAGGAAGAGGAGCGTGAGCGCAAGGACAACTACATCCCCGAAGTCTCCGCTTTGGACACCTCTACGACTGGTCTCGAGGTTGACCCCGATACCAAGGTGCGTTGGGCTCTGGCTGGTCGAAACGGCTGAGATATTGACCCCCAAATATAGGCTCTCCTTGACTCGCTCAACTTTGACAGCATCCCTGTCAACGTCGTCCTTCCCGTCTCTGCCCTCCCCGAGCGTGGGCCTCGGCGAGACCGAAGGAACGTCCCAGGAGCTGGCCGATAAACGGTTTAAATACCAGTGTACCACTGTAAACTCGATATTACGCCATGTCTGGTATGCTCATGACTTTCCCCACCATGTCCATGTATTCTTTTTCTATGCACTCGTCCCAACACTGCGAACTCGACCCTCACTCTTATCGGCGTGACCTCAAGCAAGCATCTATTCAGGTGTTCTTGTACATTACAGCAACGATTAAGAAGAATCGGATTTCTTTGGTCGCTTTCTGGGACTTGGAGGTGGTGTCGGTGGTGGCGAGAGTTCTTGTATCAGGGCTCGCAGATAAGCCACAGTGATGGGTGAACCAGGGCCATCGACTGGAGACCACTGTCGTCTTTCTGTGGCTGCCCATTTCCATTTCTTGACATACGTTCAGATTTTGGGTAGGGATTGCGAACAGGAGGGCCTACCAGGTAACGTATTAGTTCTTTGTCGGTTGGCAAGACTTGTCTCCACTCTGTAGACGCCGGGTCATCATGCAGAGAACAGAATATGCGATACGAATCGAGAGCATAAGCGCCTGCACCTGGAAGATGGGAGATAGGTGTGTCAGGATATTTCCGCCGTTTCTTTGGCGAACCAGGAACGCTGGGTAGAGTGGCTCTCGAGGTTCGCGGATCATACACTGAAGGTCGATCCAAGAGGTACAAGCGAGACATTTCTTTCAGTCGTTGCGCTCGTATCCGCTGCGTACCCAGAGGCGTCAACATGATGACCAGATCCTGTTCAGTGGCTGGAAACGTTGAGGGTTAATCAGACCTCAAGAAGCACTTGCCCACCTTGAGAAAGAAGGAAGGGGGTAGACCATCGTTCCATGATTTTCCAAAAGACTGGAATGGCTGCTCTTCCAGTCGTCTTATTCAAAAGGGTCACCGCGACAAGCAGTTTCCATGGATCGTCTGCAACAGTTTCTTTCGAGGAATGAGCAGATGAAAGTTCGAGCCACTGTAAACTCACCTTGTATCAACTTTGGCTTTAGGCCTTCGAGATCGTTAAATAAGCGCTCAAACTTGCGGTGATAGAATAAAGCTAGAGGATCTTCTCCCGGAGGTTCACCCAGGCCCATCCGCTCCTCGCAAGTTAGGGGTTCAGGAAGGCATTCCTTTGGTGGGGATTTACGTGGTTCAGGGTGCCAGTGAGCCTCTCCAGACTTTAGAACTGGAGAGAAATACGGAGAAACGTAAACAGTCTTGGCCTTTTCCTTCCTCCTGGGTGTCTTTGGCTCGTCCGGGGACATGGAATAGGTTTTGGCCCAAAGATCCGAGGGTTGACGGTTCCGCGGAAGCAATGTTTGGCATCTGCGTCAAGTGTAAACAGACATCCTGGAAAGGCGATTTTCGTGTTGCACTGCCGCTGTCGCCGCTGTGTGTCGCATTGCATGACCACCGTTCCTCATCGTCTCCAACAACGAGCTCGACTCTCTTAACGACCGCTCACGACGACGACGTCTGCAACCCAGCCCCAAACCCCATTTATGACCACGCAATTGGGCACCGCCACAGCCGACGCACACGACGCAAGACGGAGGCCTGCGACTCGTTCAACCACCGCCGCTGCCGTTCGTCCCAGCAGCAAGCGCTCACCGTCACCCATTGTCAAATTCACGTCGACGCCACTCCCCGTCGATAGCGCAAAAGGTGTCCAGGACATCACCAGAAAGGTCCTGCGCCAGTTGGAGGGGCTCGGACATTTAGAAGTCGTGGAGATGGAGACTCCACATGAGCTCAGCGAAGACGAGCAGCCCCTGCACAACGGCAACGGCGTTCATGTTCAGCCAAACGGCGCAGTCAATCCCAAGCCAAGCACCAACGGCCATACCCACTCGAATGGAAACGGCGCCCTCAAACCAGTTGAGAAACCTGTCGACTATGAGATTCCTCGTAAACTGCTCCACGGGTCTATAGGTGCGTTATATCCATCATTAATGTCGCTTCACTGATCTAAATGTGTGCCCAACAGGATTCTTCGTGCTTTATCTATACCTCAGTGGAGGCAACCCACGGAACGTTATTGTCGCCTTGTGGTCCGCCCTCTGCGTCATCTACCCGGCAGATCTGCTGCGCTTCAGGTCCCGTCGATTTGCACGCTTATATGAAAGCCTCTTGGGTTTCTTGATGCGAGAATCTGAAAAGGTGCACCAATTCTAGCCTCTCTTGCCCTTCATAGCTCACAACCGAATAGGACTCGGTCAACGGAGTCGTGTGGTACATCCTCGGAGTCAACACGGTCTTGTCATCGCTTCCTCTCGACGTGGCCTCCGTGTCAATCCTCATGTGCGTCTAGACCCTCTTCTTATGCCTCTAATGCACTAACGTTACCCCTAGCCTCTCTTGGGCCGATACAACTGCATCCACATTCGGTCGATTGTATGGGCGCCGAACAGCAAAACTCCCAGCACGTTCACCTGTTCTCGGCCTTCCGCTGGCACCAAGGAAATCCGTCGCAGGATTCATCGCTGCATCTGTCACAGGTGCACTCATCACCTTTGGTTTCTGGGGATGGATTGCCCCTATGCGAGAGGAAGGCCTTACTTGGACGTGGGATGGCGGAATCCGAAATGCTGGAGCAGGCGGTCTTCTCGGGCTATCAATGATCGCGGTCGTAGCAGGGCTAGTCACCGGTGTTGCAGAAGCACTCGGTATGTTTCCTCCTTTGTTTAGCAATTCAGCAGGACGCTTACCATCAATTCATAGACCTCGGATCTGTCGATGACAATCTGTCTTTACCCATTATCGCAGGCGGATGCATCGCAGGTTTCTTCAAGTTGTTCGAATACGCTTCATCGACAGTGTCATCTTGGGTTTCATGATTCCGTTCGCCAGCTGGCCTCGCAGGTACTGCCCTAATAGAGTCTTCTCCCATTACCTTACGACCCGCACCCATCTATTCAGCAGGAACTACTGGACATATATATATTTGCTACATTTAAGAACATGCATTTTCAACCACCCATGCCTTTTTACCTGTCGTTACTCTTGCACTTGACTTGCACCCATAATCTTTACTTACATACCCCTTCATGGAACTTGACGACGAAATGCCTCTGTAAAACCCCCCAGTATGCGATGGTAATTGCAATAAAATTAGTTTGGTACTAATGCTACATGGTCTATCGAGATCTCGAGCGTCTATGTCAGGCCTGCGGATGCTGTCAATGAATGAACCAGTCAGGAATGAAGAAACCACATACTGTACTTGGGTCCTCCACCACCCTCGGGAACGGTCCATGTGATATCCTGGGTAGGAACCTTGATATCGCAGAGCTTGCAATGAATGCAGTTCTGCCAAACCTCGATGAAAACACGCTCCGGACAAAGAAAAAACAAAGCAGACCTGTGAGTTGATCACCAACTTCTTACCCTGCCAAGTACCCTCGTCACTCTCACCCTCGACATCCACATACTCGTAAACACCAGCGGGGCAAGCACGACCCAACAAACCAGCGTATTCGCCAACGTTGACTTTGACGTGGTTGACACGGGTTTCGCGCTCCTCCGCAACCTCTTCGGCCGAGAAGGCTTCGGCTTCAACGCCGCTCTTGACAGCGTTGACACCAGCGCCGACAGCGAGATTTTCGTTTTCAGCGAGCTCCTCGACGAATTTGCGGGTCTTGACGACTCGGAGGTGGACAGGTTGGTCTTCAGCATGGTTGGTACCGGTAAGAGCAACGCTGGTCATCAAGTCGGTGGACAGTGGTGGCTGGAAGGGCGGGTAGTCGATAGGCTTGTGCTTGCTAGCGGGTTCCGTATGCGACGAGTCCAAGGACGAAGTATTGTTCTAAGAATGGTTAGCCCTAGCTATGATGGAGAAACACAGGGGACTCACCTCATTCTTGGCATGACCCGAGTTGTCGTGCTTGAACGTGAATGGAACTCGTCCCTTGAAAATGAGCGAATCGAGTCCACCCCAAGCAATACCACCCCATAGACCGAGCCGAGTGTTGAACGCGGGTCGCATGTTGCGGACTTCATGCAAATCCTTGTACACCCAAGAATCGTTAAATGCCTTGTCGTAGCTGGACATATCGCTGGGCTTGGAATCGGCGTCTTCTTGCTGGACAGCTTCGAACGCGGATTCGGCAGCCAGCATACCGGTCTTCATGGCGTTGTGGGTTCCCTTGATTTTGGCAATGTTGACGACACCTGCTGAGCAACCGAGGAGGGCTCCACCGGGGAAGGAGAGTTTGGGAATGGATTGCAGACCACCTTCGTTGAGAACCCGGGCACCGTAGGCAAGTCGCTCGCCTCCTTCAAGAAGGGATCGCCAGTAAGGGTGGTGCTTCATGCGTTGGAGCTCTCGGTACGGGCTGAGATAAGGATTCTTGTAGTCGAGGCCAATGACGAGACCGAGAGTTACAAGTCCACCATCGGCATGGTACTCCCAAGCACCACCGTAGGTCTGATAATCCATGGGCCAGCCCACCATATGTCGAACCTTTCCGGGCTCGTGCTTGGAAGGATCAACCCTCCAGACTTCCTTCAAGCCGATACCGTACGTCTGCGGCTGAGCCTCCCTTCGCAGGTCGTACTTGCTGATGGCCTGCTTGGACAGAGAGCCGTGAGCTCCTTCGGAAAGGAGCGTGACCTTGGAGCGGAAGGCCATTCCAGGTTCGAAGGAAGATTTCATGCGGAAGTCCTTGGTCAACCCGACTTCGTTGGTCACAACACCCCGGACGCTGTGGACCTTGTTCCCCCAATGGTCGTACGAATCAGGCTCTTCGCTGTAGAGCAGTTGGGAGCCAGCGAAACCGGGGTAAATTTCGACGCCGTATTCGTTTTCAGCGATTCCGGCAAGCCAACGAGTGAATTGGGAGAGGGAAATGATGTAGTTCCCCTTGTTGCCCATCTGGGGAGGATGTGGGATTGGCAAGGCGCGGTTTTCGGTCATGAACAACATCTTGGAGGAGGTGGCCGGTTGTGTCAGGGGGTGGCCCTCCATCGTGGACCACTCGGGCAGGAGCTCATTGAGGGCACGGGGCTCGATGACTGCACCGGAAAGGATATGTGAACCTGACAAGGGAGAACTCAAGTCAGTTGCCGGTTGCTGTCTGGAACTACGAGGCAAGGATACCGATTTCTGAGCCCTTTTCGAGGACGACGACCCGGATTTCATTGCCCTTTTCTCGTTCCAGCTGCTTGAGTCGAATGGCAGCACTGAGGCCGGCCGGACCTCCGCCAACGATGCAGACGTCGACCTCGTCCTCTGCCCGCTCGAGACCCTTTGCTGTGAAGGGCTCGTTTGCTCGTCGCGGCGTTGAGGACAGACAGCGCTTGAGCAGCTGCCTTGAATTTATGTGGACGACCCGTGAGCGGAGCATTGAGGATAAAGTCCAAAAGTCAATTTCCTACAATTTCCTTGACTCTGGTTGGCCGGACATTCACGTGCTATGACGTCGCGTGACACTCATTGCCAATTTGCCGCCGGCGGACTTGGGTCCGACTTGCACTGGCAAAAAATTAGAATTCAGCCCGACTTTCTTTCTCCTAAACATATACAGTTATTTGCCTTGAACTACATCCATGGAATCATTATGGCCCTGCCGCCGACGTCCCACTGCCACCCCTCCAACAACAACTCGCAGCCCTTGTGCAACAAACTACCGACTTGCAGCAACAGCTCGCCCAGCTTAGTGACCAAATGAACACGAGGTTTGACCGGTGACCGTCTCGAGCGCAGGTTTGATGAGCTGCCACTTCGCATGGCGAACAACCGATCTGTCTTGCCCGACGCCCCTAAGTACGAGGTTCGTCGCGTGACTCGAGCCGGCAGACTAGTGCGTATACCCCAGATCCCGGGCATACCCATGTGTTTTCTGGCATTCAGTTCAAGTCCTGTCATTGACAGTCGCAGACAAGCCACTCCACATGAACTGTCCACATACTGAGCCAGGGTGCTATACGGTTACCTTGTACTGCTTTCTTATATTCCTGGCTATGGCGACACTCCTTGGTTCCTGCTCCCCCTGGCTTGGGCACACGGCGCAATGGTCGAACCCACTGTGCACAATACTTATGGCGCTCTCGTCATTGGCGTCTCTTTTGCCATATTCCTCTTTGGCGCCATCTCTCTCCAGGCTTACCGGTACTATTTCGCCTTTCCAAACGACCGGATCGGATTTCGCTATCTCGTCACAGTAATCTGGTTTGTTCTTTGACCCGCTCCTTGCTTCTTTCCTACAATTCCGATACATAATCCTAGGTTCCTAGAACTCGGACACACTGCTGGCATCACATATGAACTCTACACTGTTGCAGTCACCAGAAATGACACCGTACTGGCGTTCCCTGGCCTCGGGGTCGCGCTGCTCATTGGCGGACTTGTTACAATGCTTGTCCAAGTAGGTGCATATCGCCCGTGGCCTCGTGGGCTGTGTCTGACGCCCCTCCAGTGTTTCTTCGCTAGGCGGCTGTGGAAACTGCTTCCAAGACCATACAACCTCATAGGCCTCCTCTGCGTCGTTCTCGCAATTGTTCGTGCGATCGGAAGCACATTCCTCGCCACCAAAGCTATCACGTCGAAAGACGTCACCAGCTTCCAACTCAACTGGAACTGGCTCGTCACTGCCCTTCTATCCCTTGGTGCTTTCCTCGACCTCGCCATTGCTGCATCGATGTTATCCTTCCTTATGGTGCAACGAAACGACCGCCTGGGCCAGTGAGTTACTTCACCAATTAAATCGTCACTCACGTTACTCACTTACTGTGATACAACATTAGGTTTGGTCAGCTCATGGATCGCCTAGTGGCATATACGATTCGCACAGGCCTGTTCACCAGGTGGGAGCCCTGTTCGAAACCACTTTGCTATTTCTGACGTCCATCCAGCGTAACAGCTGTAGTTGTCCTCATCTGCGTAAGTGTCTGCCTATGACTTGTCGCCACCAAGCTCATTTCTCCCAGTTTCAAACAATGCCAGGAAATTGTGAGAACGCTTGGTTTCAGGTTTGGTTACACAAGCTGATTTGTTTTCATCGCCAGTCATATGGATAGCAACCTACGCCTTCCTCGCCAAACGTAAGCTTTCAGCTCCTTCCTTCTGGTCGCTCTTACGAGTATCCCGCAGTCTATTCCAATTCTCTCCTGGCAGCGTAAGTATTTCCTCTCTGCTTTCGTTCGAGCATCGGATTGACCCAAACCTCCTCGCCTTAAGATTGATGGAAAGACGACAACTACGAAACGCCGTCACCGAAGCCCCCGAACGTTTCCATCGTTCAAAACCACCGTCCATACGAACCACGGAATCACGAGCTCAATCCATCCAAGAGCGCAGAACTGGCACATTTGTACGCTCTTTCAATATAGTCTCCACAGGAAGCCCACTAATGACTCGCCTCCACACGGATAGTCTCTACGCCCATCCAGGCCTCCAATGTTCTCGTTCGAGATGCATTCACCTGTGTATCCGGACGACTCTCATATCCGGGGCTACTGGGAGGTACGTCCTCGTTCCCATTAAAGAGCTCCCGAGACGCTGATCCCGTTGCCTTCGTATCCCTCGACAGGAACTTCCAGGTACTCCAAGCTCACCACAAAGTCCCAGCAGGGCGTACTACGGGATCAACGAAAAGCCTCGACAATACTGAAGAAAGTATGAACACATATCAGTCCTTTCATGTTGTATTATAGAGCAGGCGGGTGCGTTTCCTCCTTTGGATGGCCTCCTCCCATTGTATGTACTATATATGTATCACTAGTCCTTCCAAATTCTGATCGCTTTCGAGTTTTGTTCTTTCGAGGTTCTCATCTCTCAAACCTCTTTGAGTAATTTCCCCATTCTAACCGTGGTCCGTGATATTCAACTGTGATCACCAGGCCTGTCAATGGCAGTTGATCGATTCCGCTTTGCCTTTTTCTCCCTTTACGTCTGCCCACAGGGTGATAACAAAGGAAACGCTGCAACAAAGAACTGAAGCCTACGATCGCCTCAAGCCGAGCCCGCTCCATTCAAGGGCGTTATTCCCAAGTCATACCCATATACCCTCCAGGTACGCAGACCGCAGTCACTTCAGATTTTGGCTGACCATTCGCGCTACCTCTAACCTCATCCAGCCCACGTTCGGGATGCACTCACAGGTACATGCAAAAGGCTCCCACAATCGGTCTTTTCGTCCCATCGTTCCCACTCAAGAACTCTCAAGGGTCTCTCCATTGCCCACTACTTTCAACGATGGTCCGTGATATTCGACGTCTGTGATCTGCAGCGGTGCCTTAGGTTGCTCGCTGTTGTTGGCAACTCAAGCTAGAAACCCGCTGAATTGATTCCGCTGCTCCCTTTATCTGTGTTTTCTGCTACGTTCGTGCGCACGAGCGTCGTTTTTAAGCTGGAGACTAGTCGGCAAACACTTCATTCCTATCCCTCTTACAATAGTCTATCCACCTTCAATGCTCAAATTCAATACTCAGCGTTCAAAGGGCTGCCATACTTCCTCAATCCTGCAAATAGCTGACCGATTTTAGAGACAAAGGACAATCGTCGGAGGGTCGATGATAGCCATCTCGAGCAGCGCTCTTGGACTTGGAGACGCCTATGGACGAATCGACTCCAGCCTTATCCTCTCGGCCTCAGGATCACCGCAAATCAAGGCACTATCACGATTCTTCACACCGCAGATCCGAAGTGGGTAGTCCACCGTGCTTAAACCCTCTTAAACCTCTCAACTCGCCATCCTTACATCGAGAAGATCTCGAAATAATGATGTTAAAACATCCAGAAAACACACAGGATTTGGATAATCATCTCGAACGGCGTGTGACCACTGACCTGTGTGGTATTTCGTGAATTTCCTGGGGCTAGAACTGAACTCCCGCGTATAAAATCCCCTCGATATCTTCGCTGTAAATCCCTAAATCATTCCAGGAGGAAGGACGCCCAAAACTAAATCGACAATGAAAGCCACATTCCTCTCCACCCTCGTTACATTCGCACTCGCCGTCTCAGTCCAAGGCGCCATCAACGACCCCTGCACTGCAAAAGGCCAACCAGGCATCTGTATCACCACTTCCGACTGCTCAGCCGGAGGCGGCACCTCTCATGTCGGTTTCTGCCCTAGAGACCCAGCGCACGTCCGTTGCTGCACAAAGAAGTGCAACAGGGACGTCGGTACCTGCCGCTTCACCAATACCTGCACTGTTCCGGGAAGTTATGTTTTGACCGGTATGAACACTCATTCTCCCTGGTGAGCATGAGGAACTGGAACTGACCCCGATGGGCTGTACTAGGCCTTTGCCCTGGACCTGCCAGCTTCCGATGCTGCATGCCCCCTCCCAGCTGGCTTCGCCGCGCTGAGGAGTTGGATTAATCAAGCTGTATGTGGATCAGTGCTGCTCACATATAGGGTCGAAGCTCAAATCCTTTCATCCAGCGCCGCACCTCTAACGATTTTACTTATTCCAATTTCCAAACCAACAAGTACTATTTCACTCTCATCTGTACGAGACCACTTTCTGCAGGCAAATGTTTGCCATACCGGACGCCTAATGCCATTCATGATCATAACGACCGGTTCTTCCATTTAGCTACCATTTGTATCATTCGGACGTCTTCCTTCTCGGAGCCTTGGTGGTGAGGGAGAGCAGCGCTGTATTCCTGATGAACCACATTTCGACGATTCAAACTGAGATACAGGCTCGAGAAGGTCTCTGAGGTTAAACCCTCCAGGATAATAATCTTGAGAAGCGCAATTTACGGGAGTGCATGGGAGGTCGTTTTGGACTATCTGGGCTGGAATAAGCCCTTCGACCTGCCTCGTCCCCAGTATAAGCCAGGCACCGAGTGCTCGAAACTTCTCAGCACCATGTGGTCAACTGCACGTCCCTCGCATGATATAGAGGGTGTTGGATAAACTGGAATATAAAAACCCCATTGCATACTTACCTCCCCGTCTGTTCACCACCATCCGCCTGCCCGCTGGCCAGCAAGTACTCCACACGCCAAATCCCCATGAAATCCAGTCTCGTCTCAAGTTTCGTCTCTCTCGCCCTTGTCCTCTCAGTGCAAGGCGCCATCAACGACCCTTGCACTGCAAACGGTCAACCAGGCATCTGCATCACCACTTCTGACTGCTCAGCGGGAGGCGGTACCTCCCACGTCGGATTCTGCCCCAGGGACCCAGCGCACGTTCGCTGCTGTACCAAGAAGTGCAACAGGAACATTGGTACCTGCCGATTCACCAATACCTGCACTATTCCTGGAAGCTATGTCTTGACTGGTTTGTCTTTCATTTTTCCTTGGTTTAGTGCATGACTTACTTATGACAATGTGCCGTAGGCCTCTGCCCTGGTCCATCTACTTTCCGATGCTGCATGCCCCCTCCAAACGAACTTCGCCGAGCCGAGGAATTTGCTTAGTCGAGGTAGGTCAATTACCCCTTGACCATTCATATTCATCCACCTCACTCCCCCGACGATTGGTCTAGGAAATCAATCATATTCCAAGCGGTCGTAAAGTGTACACGTACAATTGTAATAGCACTACTTCTCCGTCTATAAACCGTGATTCCGTTATCTATGAATGGGTTGACCATACTGAAGACCCACATGCTGCTCGTGATACGGTACGTATCCATTTGGAAACCTATATCCTCCCCCTCCTTCTGTTCGAGCAGTCGTCGCTTCTGAAACGGCCATAGGTGGTACAGAGTACCTCTGAGGCTGATATATGACCGGTACACCCCCGTCGCCCATTACAACGACCACCGGCTGGGGACCAGAGTGCCGAAGCGTGCTCCACTGCGCTGTTGCCGGAGGGGCAGTCGGAACGGAAGGAGCAGAACTTTGCGCATCCCAATTCCATGCAACAGCGGTGCGCGCTCCATCGGGCTCACGGGCAGGGTCAGCCGCGACGGAACGCCTCGGGGGATGAACATCGTCAAACTCATCCCTCAAGTCCAATGAGGCCCGATTCCCAGTCTGTGGGAGAGCCGTCGCATCCACATACGACGACGACGACGTCCTCTGACTCGCCGTATCGCTCTCGGAATGGTATCCGCTGGGGTAATATTGCGGATTCCTCCACACCAACAACGGCCGATGCTTGAGGTGCCTAGCGGAGTGCTTCCCAGTACCTGGATAATAGTCGACCGTAACGCGCTCGGGATCCATCCACGGCAATTCTCGAACCTTGTCGACAAACCGCTTGAATCTCGAGATGTACGTGCGTATGGATGGGTTCGAAGAGGAGGGTGTGGGTGGTCGCTGACCTAGGTAGTCGGGTGCCGGACGAGGATGGGCCATGACAGGCACAAGCTCAGACGGGGCTGGGGGATAAAGCTGTGGAGGGACGAGTGTTTCTTCATCGTCATCTCTATAGTATGTCGCTTCCTTTCCCTTCCAATGATATTTGGGATCATTAGCTTCTTGATACCCATAGTCAGAATCTAGAAGTGTTTCAGCCAACGACTCCCGCTCTGTCTGCCGCGAGGGTCTCCGGTCATGTTGTGTTATAGGGTACGGTGTAGATTGGGTGCGCGCTTCCTGGTAATCCGCTGGTGGCACCCTGGATCGGTTGAAGGAAATCGGATCGCTAAAGATTGACCCGCCATAGCCAGAATCACTGACTTGAGAAGGTTTCTGTCCTGTCGAATGGGTTCTGTCGGCATGGGGCTGTTCTAGGTTAGGGTGGGTATATCGCATATATCGTGAGGTATGAGCAGGGTCTCGTTCCTGCTGAACGACTGCAGCACCAGAGGTTGAGCGTGGCCGCCTATCATCGTCGATTGTCCACCGGGGTTGCTGGGCCATGGCAGGGGTCCCTGTAGTCATCCATGAACGCCTAGGAGATTCTGTTCGATACTGTGGTGAAGGATATAGAGGAGGCGCTACAGGATGCTGTCCACCATGGACAGCAGCCATTTTGATGATAATGGTTCGAGGTCAAGGCAGTCTGGCAGCTTCGATTCCGCTATCTCAGGCGTTTTGGTGATCCCGGATCATCGGGAGTCGCTCCAGTTCTTGAGCCCTGCCCGGTGGACTGATAGAGCAGTACGGCCACGAGTAAGCTCCACTTCGGCGAATGTACATACTTTTAGATAGACGCTCAGTTGGAATGAGCGCCTCTGCTATTAGATTCAAATCCAGGCGCGAGACCTCCACTTGACCTCCAGTAAACCTGACGATACGCAGTCGATAGGACTCTCAAATTCCAACGTCCATCCGAAAAAGCGACAAAGCAACCAGCGCAAAGCAATCCATTACGTTTACGGTTTGAATACAAATACAAAACCCAACGTGTCGTTTCAATAAGACGATAGGAAGAGCAACAATACCCAGCGCTGCTGGGGTGTACACACAAGCCGGCTGCATGGGGGTATTTCAAAGAAGAAACAATAGGAAGAATAACTTTGGTTGTAGGCACTCAATCATTCAGATTGATTCGAACTCGCCCATTGGGACCTGGCGTCGCATTATTGCCAGACCACTGTGAAGGTCCAGAATTGTAGTTCTGCGGGTACTGGCTGGGGGCGTTGTAGTCCTGGGTGTTGTAGTCATCGGCGGTTCCACTGTAATAGGCAAGCTCGCTCGGAGGTGCAGTCGAAGCGTTGAAAGCGGTCTGGCTAGGTGTAGGGTATGGAGCGACAGCCGGGTTCGAAGGGTATGCTGGTTGGTTGTAAGGTTGCGATTGGTAACCTCCAAACGAAGTCTGGGACATTGGTGGGGACTGAGGTTTTGGCGGGGGGAATGGGTCGATCTTTCCAGCAGGAGGCGGCGGGGCTATCCAGACTGAAGCAAACAATTCTTGGTCAATAAACCAGGAAGAGGTAAAGCTGGAATGAAACATACAGTTGTCTGAAACGTCGACATCCTTTCGATTCTTCCTCCGCTTCCAGAATGCAAAGCCTGCACCGAGAAGCAGGAGGAATAGGATAGCGCCAATGACACCACCAGCAATGGCACCAGTATTGGCGCCTCCAGACTGTGCTCCCACAGCCGATGTCTGCGCATCCTCCGCGGTACCAGACGCAAGGGACCCCGGAGCAGACGCAGTCACAGTGACCGTTTGTACAGGCTGAGTAGCAGCGGAGGCAGTCGCTGTAGCTGTCGTCGTTACTGTCGTGACCAGCGGCCTCTCGAGAGGTTCAACCATGAGGACATCCAGGAACAGTTGACCATCTGTGGCGAGGTTGGTGATAGTCAAGGTGTGCTCGCCTTCGGATAATGTTGGGGACTGGTAGAAGAGCTGGTTGTACTGGACGGTGAGTCCCGGGTCTCCTTCGAAGATGACTTCGTCCTCGTCGTCAATGGCATATGAAGACCTGGGAGATCTTCTGGCAATGCCACCAGCAATGGTTCCATAGACCGAGATCCCAGTTCCTGTAGGTCGTCTTTAACAAGGAAAGATAGCAGCCAGAAGCAAAGTGCGCACCGACAAAGTTTATGGTCGCTGTAGCACCATCGTCGACTGTCCATGTCGTGGTAGAGTTAAACTCGCGATCGCTGCCCGCCTGACCCCAAGTTCCAGTGTACGTGATGGCTGCATCACGATCGTCATAAATCAAAACACCCATCTGTAAAAAAACACGGAAATAAAAATAGAAAAGAGAAAGGGAAAGGATGAAGTCAAAAGAACGACACGTTGGGAATATAGGGAAGAGAGGGAAAGTCAAGTTGGAATGCCCGGAAGATTTTTGGAATGAGGAGACCTGGACCCAATTGATTCCGCTGCATCCCCATGGAGACCCCTTGGCCCATCCCCGCATACTTATTCACGCGTCGCGCACCTAGTAATTTCATCGCATTCTTAAGTATAATCTAAAGGTAATGATACAGACGGGTATAGATACAGGCAATCTTTAAAATGCATTAAATGCATGTGCGCGCTGCGCTCAGAAAAAACGAAATGGTGAGAGCGTCGCCTTCCATCATCGCAGGGCTGTTAGAACGGGTACGGCTGTCTCGAGTCTCTCGTCGGGTAGGCATTATAAGGCGTAATAGGGATACTTCGTATAGAGACAGGTCGACTGGGCAGGTCTAAAAAACAAATCAATCTCGATACCTTTCCAAGACTTTGAGCGACAACTTACAAGCACCGTTAAAAAGCATGGCCGAGGGTGGTCGCTGGCGCTTCCGTGTCCGCCTCAGAAACAGGAATAACCCTATCGCAACGAGAGCTAGTCCAGCCAGTCCACCAAGGACGCCGCCAACGATGGCAGCGGTGTTGGTTCCTGTACCAGCATTTTCTCCCTGTATCTGTCCTCCCTGCCCAGCTTGAGCGCCTGTTGGGTTTGCTGCTGAACCAGTTATTGTCTGTGTTACAGTGGTTGTCTGTCGGTTCCCGACCGTGACAACTTGCGGTTGCAAATCGTCCGCAAGCTCGACGAGGAAATAGTCTAGCCAAAGCTCTCCGTCCGTTCCGACTTTGGTGATCGTAAGTTCGTGAGTCGTGTTTGGAAGGACCGGGGAATTAAAAAAGCGCTGGTTGTACTGGACTCTGTCCATCGTGTCCGCTTCAAACAGAATTGGGGGGCCTCCATCGATGACATAGCTCGAGAGCGGGCCTCCTGTAGCGCTTGTGTTTCGACGAGGGATGGTTCCATGGACAGATACTCGGGTACCTGTATCTCCTGAGTAAACGTCTAAACTCGCCAGAAACAGGGACTTACCTGTAAAAGTGAAGACAGCAGTCTGTCCATCCACGTTGGTCCCTCTAGTCGTCGATCTGAATTCTGGAGGAATGCCACCCTGCACCCATTGCGACGAATACTGAACCGCGGGGTGTCGGTCGTCGAAAAGCAAATGAGACATGCTGCCAGCAGCCAATTGAATAAGATGCCCAAAAAAAACGAGTGACTGAAAGAAGGAAACAGGGAGAAACCGAGGCTAGGCGCAGCAGTGCAGCCACAGCCATGGGCCTTTTAACTTGTACCAACAACACCCAGTGATCACCCCTGTGACCAACCCAGTTACCCCGAAGGTGAGAAATACACCATCCGACGTCGTAAATCTGCTAAGAGTGGTGTTCATCAACCTCCTAGCACTCGTTAGGCTAAGATTCGCCTCAGCCGGATCGACCTGTGATTGCATGGCGGTGTACATGGCCTCGTCCATCTTGATATCGGTGCGCTACCGTATTTTAAGCCAGAGACTACGAGCAGAGAACAATCGAACTGACGAGTAAGAGTACTCCCGTTGTCCCGAAAAGTAAGGCAGCCAATAGGATGGTGGGACGAAGCGCTGAGGTTTCAACGTTACGAGTGTTCCATTAGAAGCTCCCATGTCACGAGCCTGGGTAATATCTGGGTTCCATGGTAGCGTGTAGCCCGTTATAGGCGCTGGGTTGCAGTTTGCCCCTCGTTTCTATGCGTAAGTGAGGGCTGTTTCTCTATTCATTATCGCATTCACTTCCCGAGTCATCAAGCCACCGATAGGCGTTTTGCTGGGCGAATTGGGCGCGACGGGAGTTTGAGATACATATTTGGCATAGTCCCGATGGGCCAATGAAGGCACACAGTTACCTGAGAGTGAATTCCGAGTTGACCGTGGTTTCGATTTGCCAGTCCGCCCAGAGTTCGTCGAGTCGGATGTCCAAAGCGTTCGCTGGGTGGTGGTGGCGTTGAATCGAGAGCCAGCGCGACCTGCGATCAAGGTCATAATCAGGGATCAAGCGCTTTTGATGGCGGCCCCGAAAGATTCGCGCGTTTGTCAATGTTACCGCCTTTGCAGCGAAGAACTGTGACATTAACTAGTCTCAGCAACCTCGAGATTGGACTCTCCCTAGTTCGACTTTCATGCTTTGCTCATACTCAACCTCCAGCTCATGGCCCCATACCACAGGCTCAGGGGTCAGGGAGAGGTTGCCAGCGGCTATGAATGATCGCTAGGGGACTTTGCCCAATTAGGCCCCCATCTGGTCAAACTGGAGTTCTCGCACGCGATCATGTTAGGTACCAGAAATGTATATGAATAACAGATTTACGTTCTACGAAGGGTCACAAGGCGGGTCACGGTATCCCAGTCGTATGCGCTGCTCCCGTTGCGAAAGTAGGAGAAGGTGCTCGAAGAAAAAACATTGAAGAGTTTGCTCAAAAGCGATCCTCTAGGTCGGCCTCCTGACAGCGGCTCACCATCGGGAGAGGTATCTAGCCCCTTGCCGAAATCGAGGGCGTCCGTCACATTCGAGAGGTGATCGAAGGCGGAGAGGTCCTTGAAAGGCGAGCCCTGGATGATTCGTTCGTACTCGACGTAATCATGGCAGAGAAAGACCTTGATGAAACCAACGTTCACAGTGTCGCCAACTGAAACGGATTCCGGGAAGGAGAACGTCAATGGGGGCCAGCCTGAGGATTGGTATCCAATCGGAAGGGATTTCTCTTTCTTGTTCAGAGTCGGTTCCACATCTTGATTTAGGGCGATCGGCGGGAGAAAGAGAGGCTCTATGAAGAGGAAAAAACGTTCAGAAATAAATCGAAAATGAAAGAGAACAGACATACCGATGCTGAGAGTGCTGAGGTTGAAGAAAAAGGCCGCAACATGAAGCGATAAACCCGAGCGACATGATACGGTCAACCCAAATTCTTCAGAACCGTCATAATCTATGGCCTCGCCCGGAATCAATTTTGTGCCCTTGACCGTTTTCATGTTGGTGCCTGGTGCCATGGGCTTCAACCTGTGAAGGTCGACCTGGATTGAATTCGCAATCTTGCCCTTGTTACCGCTCGTGCGATCGAGATGCCAGTAAAAGTCTGCTGCTGCTGTCATGACGCGGTAGACGGCTTGGTGGGTTGCCGGTGCTGGTGAGTGCAGGTGAATGGGTTGGGGGAGAAGAGCATGATGAAGCTCGAAGGTAGCGTGGTGTCGACCGTCCTCTCCCACATCGATGCGAATGATCATGTCCGCAGGCTCGCCATGAAGAACAGACACAATGGACCTCATGTCGTCAGCGGCTGCAAGACGAGCCACCTGTTGCTCAAGTTGGGAGCAAATTCCGGAATTTGGATCCGATGTGGCCAGGTAGACGCGGAATTTCGGCTTCGAAGCGATACGTGACTGTACTGCACAAACCGATTGCGCTGATGCTGTCAATTCGTTGAACTTGTCTGCATCGATGTCCAGGTCCGATGTGAAGGCGGTAGGGGAGTCGGAAACAATGGCGGTCTCTATAGGCATGCCATCTGCGAATATGTCGAATCGGTCACCTTTCGTTACGCCATCCGCCTCGCCAGCGCTGACTCTGACAAAGGGTCCAGAGGAGGTGACGAGATAAGACAGAGGGAGCAGCGTTTGAGGACGGCCTTGGAAGACAATATAGGAGCTGTTGGCGCCCTCACACTGTGGTCGTTGCCTGTCCCAACACATGAGATACGTAGATCTATCGCTCATTAACTGGAGCTTACCCCTCAAGAGGACCAAGTCCTCGAATAAGTTGTGCGTAAGTGAGCTTGGGTCCGTCGTCGAGCCTGAGGCGTTTGAGTAGCGCGCTGGTAAAGTGACCCGATTTGTTGGATTCCCTAGCAGTTTCGGTGGACCAACATGCCGAGAGGCGTACGTAGGATCCATTGAGACTGCCCTCGTTCGAGGCGGCTTTCTCAACGGCACCTTGGACAGCGACGTCTTCGTCCTGCCCCTCGGTCATCTTGTAACCATCACTTGGGTCAAGCATGACCCCTCTTTCCATGGGTGCGTTTTCGTCGTCCTCATCTGGACCTTCTCGCAAACCAGAGCCTGAATGACAGCAGTCGAAGATTACAGTCTGGAAAAGGAAGTATACAAGTCAGATGGACGAAAAGAAGAAAGGATAAATCTTTTGTAAATCTTACGATGTTGTTTCCTTTAGCTCGAGCAAGATTGACAAACAATGTGTCCAGAACGAACTGCGGTAAACCTTGTTCTAGTCTGTCCGAGTCGCTGCTACTCCCAGGGTTGAAGTCGTGGGGCAAAATTATCGAAATTTCTTGGCGAGAATCATCCCATCCAGATGGAGGTTTGGTGAGGCTACCGTGTCCCGCGAAGAAGATCAGGATGGGGTCGCCTTTCCGAATCTCGTCCGTGTGAGCCAGCTGTTGGATATGTCTTTTGATATTTTCACGCGTGGCCTGGTCATTGAAGAGAGTCTGGATACGGGTTGAAGAGGCTCCCAGGTTGTTCACCAAATACTCTTTCATCGCTTCGGCGTCTGCTACACATCCATTTAAATCCTTCAGCGGTGTCTTGAACGGATTGAGCTTTAACAACTGTTTCTTGATGCCGGTCGGCGAATACTTGTACTCATTGATTCCAATGAGCAATGCAAAGATACGAGACCTGGACCGTAAGTCTTATCACTGTCACGGTGAAGTAGCAAACCACGACGTACTCGTTAGGTGGGGGAGGAATAATACCAGTGTTGGGTTCCGTCATGATGGGACAAGAGAGTCAACCGAAGTAGAGTCGAATCTACTTGATAAGAAAATCGACACCAACCCCGACAGCCAGGGCCCAAATTCCCGCTTCACGACACCAAGAAAACAAGAGACCCTCATTGAGCATGTCTTGTTGTGATTGTTCACGATCAGAAGTGCCTGACGCGAGCAAGACGTCTGTCCGCTTATCCACCAATGTGTAATGATTGATCGCCGGATATGTGAACGCCCCAGCCCCTCCAAGGCTCAGGCCTGGTGGACTGGTCGGTTTCTGAGACGTACAGAATCTGCAGCCTTTTGAGAAAAGAGCCCAGGTATCTCTGGTGGGCAGGTTTCAAGTAAAATGTAGTACTACTCGGATTGGTCAAGCCTTCTATTTTGCAATGGGGATCCGGAGGCGTGCTGGTTCCGGAGACGTCTTTGTGTTGAGTATTGTGCACGTGTGCCGTACTGTGATTGTTGAGAAATACTTTGACGCGAGCGAGACGTCCGTCCGCTTGTCCACCAACGTAAAAGAACATGATGGACCATGATCACTTGACATTGGAATTGACACCACCGCTAAACCCACAGGCTCCTACCTTGGTGCCTGCTTTACGACATCAAGGGAGTTTATGTTTTGTGTGAAATATGAATCCGGAGAGGTGGTGGTTCCGGAGACTACTTTAGGATAGAAAGGGGCAATTAAATGGTCAGGGCGACATCGAGGAGACATCCATTACCATGTTTGCCGTTCTGTGATTGTTGAGAAGTGCCTTGACGCGACCAAGACGTCTGTCTGCTTATGCAGGTTCGGAAAGATAAGAACAAGTACGAAACTAGCGCATCGGCTTTTGTATGTGAGGGCAGGAAAGACATATATAACAGCGGTCGAACTCGAACCAATATCCCCAGCCTAGCTCTCGCAACTACACCAGTTCCAAGATGACGTTCGGTTCGCTCCGGTCTTCTTCCTCGAATAAGTAAGTTTATTTGCAGCCGCATTCTATCGACTGGAAATGTTGACGAGCCATTGCAACACCAGCAACGCAGCGACATATGAGCCCAAGCCATCTGTTATCCCAGAGGGCCCAGTCGATAAGAATTGCGCGGAACACCGACCCGTTCTGATTGGTACTCTCCGCCTCCAGGCTCTGAGAGGCATCTTCCCCAAGGGCACTCCATTCAAGTATCTCATGGGTCTATTTGGTAGTAAGCCCTCCCTTCCCAGTCCCACTGAGCATTGGGCTGTCGTGGTTGGAGGGTACTATCATGAGCTCGTCATCAAAACGGGCAACGCCGTTGGTTACGAGAATGGAGAGGCGAAGAACCTTGACGAACTGAGGAAGCAGAACTGGCAATTCTACGAGATCGATGGTATCACAGCTTTCAATGACGCTGCAATTTATGAAGCTGGTGAGTAGCTCATTGGACATTCAAGCTGGCGGAGTCTGACGATGGGTTTTCAATCCTTAGCCAAAGAATCCATCGAGATGATGCCACAGCCTTACGACCTCTGGAAGAACAACTGCCAGACATTCGTCATCAATCTTCTCAACAAGATTTGTTTGCCTGGACGAAAGCTAGTCTTGACGTCTCAGGGCAACCGCGAAGAACACGGCGTCGACGATTACTCGGCATCTGACGAAGCAGAGAAACTCATGGACGACAAGACGCAACATATTCGTACAGCGAAGGTTAGAATCAAATGTTCCCCATCTTTGCGCTTTGATGACTGAGGCTTCCTACAGGAGCTCGCCAAGTTATTGAACTACTACGAACCTGGAACGGTTGTCGACATGGAGGACACGGCAGGGGAAGATGGCTCTGCGTGATCGGAGTAAGGCGAATGGTGTTCCACTTGCAACGCAACTCTTCAAATTGAGAGGCTGAGAATTTGTATTTTATGCGACTATATACGAAATATTGGTCCAGCAACTGCCGACGAGAAGTCCAGGGCGAGTTCAAGCACCAGGTCCGAGTCGGACACACATGCGAATCAACTCGTTCCTCCTAGTCCAGAGGGCGCCCGGATTGTTTGCATGGTTTATTAACAGGTCCTCCAATCCTCCGGGGCGGGGATCGGATAGGAGATCATCAGGGGTGAAAGCACCTGGCTGACCTATACTTCATGCGTTGAACTCGATCAAGTTGCGATAGCGAGAAAAGGGTGTACGAAATTCGTTCGGCATCTACCAGCAGCTATCAAGGCGGGTAAACAAAAGTCTAAGAACACAGAATGATCTATCCCAGAGACAACCACCCCCGTCAAGTGCCCCTGGATAAGTGGGACTGATAGGGCGGAGGTGAATCCTGGGATCGAGAAATAGTTTCAGTCCCTGGACTTCCTTTCTCCTCGTCAACGACCAATGCCGGCACGCCCTTTGGCTCGTTCGACGAGCCCCGCAGAAAACTCGACATAGTCGCTTCAAACGGTGAGATCCGACCCCCTTGTCCCGCCTGCGACGATTGCCGAACGAGGTTCGAGGTCGAAGTCGAGGATGGATTATCCACTGAAAGCACTGGAAATCCGATCAGAAAAAGTAAAACAACGGCCAGTCTATTCACCTTCTCCTGAGCTGCGTTGCCGCCGCGCTCTTTTCTTTCTCCGGCGAAGCAACAATACGATCACGATGATGAACACCGTCAACCCGATAACACCAGCAATGGAGCCAATCAGCACTCCAAGTGAGATTCCTTGCGAGGGATTGGAACTTTGAGCGACGTCAGTGGAACCGGTTGCATCAGAGATATCGCCTACGGGCGTGATGGGAGGATCAGCGGTAGGAAGTGACGAATGGGTGTCTGAGGTTCCCAACGATGACGAGACCCCATCCAGGAAAGAATCTGTCACTAATGTGGACGAAGACCCATTGGGCTGTCTACGGGTTGTCACCGATTCGATCGCCGAGGACTCTGTCTCTGCAGCATCTGGGGTACTTTGATTCGGAGGTGGACGTGTAGAGATCGACGTCGGCGCCAGTCTTGGGGTAGAGGTTGTTGAAGGCGAAGGCGGGGGAGGTGGTGGTGCAGGAGGCGAGGGTGCTGGCGTTTCGGGTTGAGAGGTATCCCTGTAAACCTCCAAGTAATCCAGATACAAAAAGTCATCTGGGTCCTCCGTCTGGTTGGTGATAACGAGCGTATGTGTTCCAGGTGCGAGCGCCCCAGAATCGTAAAATTGCGAACGATAACGCATCGTGAACATCCGGTTTGGCGTGAAAACAGAGATGGGCCCATTGTCGACTCTGTAAGTGGAACTAGGCAGTTCCCCTTCCGAGAGGGTACCAAAAACCACGATTCGGGAACCTACAGAGGAGAGTTAGATGGGTGAGAGTTGGGTGGGCGGCGTTATCCATACCTGTAAACTGAACGGTGACCGTGGCGCCCACTGTTCTGGTCCAGCTGGTGGTCTCCCGGTATTCCTCTGGGTCACCAGAGCGGCTCCATCCAGAGCTATAAACGAGTGCCGGATGTCGATCGTCGAGTGTCGTTACTTCCATCGAGGAAAGACGATACGGAAAGGAAAGGATCAGATACAGGCCACCGTAGGGCTAAAACGAGTGGACAGGTTAGCTGAACGAAGATATGGGAGTAGGAGGAAGAAACTATGGGCGCCGAGGAGGGTCTAGCGCATTCTACCGAAAACGGATTGGCATGAGAGAACACTGATGGAAAGAATCAAGTAGTCGGGCTGGAAGGGCTGTTGACAAAGTGACAGATGTGTCGAAGAAGCAGCAGGTGAGGCGGAGACTCTGTTATTCTCCAACTACAGCGCGGGAGCAGAGGGGCGGTACTTGGTCGATGGAGGAAAGGCGATGGCATCAAGTAGCAAAAATGATCAATCAGGATATATAGTGGGGTTGTGGAAGTCGAATGGGAGTAGAAGCAGTCAAGACTCATCCGCGCCCATAATCAATGATTAAGAGAGGCGAATTCACGGCGATGGGATGGATTCCGGATGTTCGAGCGCCAGTTCTCGATTCGATGGAACCAGGAGGAGGGTGTAGACGACACCGAACCATCTTGCCGAACACTGCGGGAACCTAGAATCAGATATCATTATATATCTCGAGCTGGTAGTCATGATGATATCTTACCCATGTAAACCGGAAGGACCGCACGAGTGCGTCTTGAAGTACGCGAAGAGGAGGAAGTCGAGGTACCATCAGGAGCGCCAGTCCTTCTCTTCACATACCATATGATGGCCAGGGCGAGGAGAAGCAGGGCGATACCGCCAAAAAGTCCAGCCAATATCCAGCCAACGTCACTTGAAGACGACGTTTCTCCATCAGATGTCACCGTCTGAGTTGGCCCGGGCACCGAGCTCGCAAACGTGTTTGCAGAGACAGTGACACTGGGATTGGTTTCAGCACTCGAAACGGGTGCGGGCTGAGCAATCGTTCAGAGCGGAGAATAGGAACGCAAGAGAGATACAGACCATCACTGGCGTGCCTTCGATATCGAAGTAATCAAGCCAGATCCCATTGCTTTCATCTTCGCTGGAAATAACCAGGGTATGTGTTTCGTTCGCAAGGATCGGAGATTCATAGAACAGTTGGGCATATTGGACTTCCTGAGTGGGCGCATAGCGTTGAAACGTGACAGGCCCGTTATCGATAACAAAAGACAGCCCAGGAATACGTCTTCCTCGACCAATTGTTCCATATATTTGCACAGACGTTCCTAGAAAATGCTGAGTACAATGACAAGGTCCAAGGCAGCGCAAACACACCCTGAAACTGGAATATAGCACGAGCGCCAGGTCGTTGTGGGCGAGACGTAGTTCCTTCAAACTCGTTGTCCCCTCCCTCGAATGCCCAGAAGCCCTGGAACGAGACTGCAAGAGAACGATCGTCAACTCGGTGAGGCATTGGAATTGGTGCCAGAAAGTGCGAAAGATTGGGGGTATATATATGGCGGTCGGAGGCGACTGAGATGCGGTGACATGATAGTGATACTCTGACGGAATGAAACAGATTCAAGCGCGACGAAAATAGCAGATGGCCGAGGACGAGATGAACAAGGCTCGTCACGGGCGCCAATCCACATCTCTTGGAAATCTGTAACATGATCAACAGCACGACAACGTCATAGCAAAAGCTCACCAGCACCAAGAATAAAAATTTACCAATCCAACAGGGTACACACGGCTGATCTGTGGTTTTTGCCAGTTTTTTGAGTGTTTTATTACACTATGTAGTGGTACAGTGCATGCAAAACGAGAGAGAAACAATGAAAACGGAAGAGTTTGATGGAGACGTTTAATCGAAGAGACCGAAGCCCTATGGAATACGATAAGACTCCAGTCATGAAACGAAATACAATCAGAACATACCATGTCGTCGTCTGACTCCTCCTTCTCCTCCTCCTTCTTCTCCTCCTTGGGTGCCTCCTCAGCGGCAGCGGCAGCACCACCGGCAGCAGCAGCAGCACCAGGAGCGGGTGCTCCACCACCAGAGCCGACGTTTGAAAGGAGTTCTTTCACATTTTTGCCCTCGAGAGCTTTTGCGAGGAGAGATGCCCAGATGGGCTCGAGTTCGACGTTGGCGGCCGAGGTCAAGGCGACGATTTTGTCGGACTAGAATATATTTTCTATGAGATCGGACGTGCTTTTACGGTCGAACGAGAAACGTACGGTGATCTCAATGCCATCGTCGGCAAGGATGAGGGCGGCGTAGGTGGAGGCGAGTTCCTGGGAGGCCTAATCGACGAAATTTCGGGGTCAGTCATCCGAACAGCAATTTGGGCATCCAGCGCGAAATCGACAGCATCGACACGGTATTCGACGTCGCGAGGGCTGGATCAGCAGAAATAACGACGATACTGACCATTTGGACGGGTGGTGGTGGCGGAAAGTCGAGTGGTCGCTGAAACGTCGCGCAGTCGTTTTCTGTGTATCTTTTGCGCCGCGAAGCCGCACGGAGTTTGCCGATGTCATCAGATCGGGGTCAATAGTCACATTTACACTACTAGCTAAATCTAAGTAATTCAAATCGACGAATAACGAATGACGAGATCCTACACGGTACACTAACGAATGAGGGGTATATACAAGGGGAAATAACATTAAGGACGTGGAATCCCTCCAGGCCGTCCGATGGATGAATTAGACTGTAAAGACATGGGCGCACGAACCCGAGAGGTCGAGGTCTTGTAGACCATCCCAGTGCCAGTGCGAGGCCTCGGCTTACTGGGAGAGGGTAGTCCAGAGTCGATATTCGACGGGGGTCGAATCGAAGAAGTAGAAGAGGAAAGTTGGGGAACAGGAACAGCGGGGCGGTCGCCGCCACGAGTGGATGCGCGAATTTGCCGAGGGAGTTGAAGAGGTCGAACAGGAGCGGGCGTAGATTGTGTTACAGCGGGGGATGTGGAAACAGAAGACGATGTCGATGAAAACGTGCGTGCGCGTGGTATAGCCATCTTGCTAGGTGGTGTTGAGAGGGCCGATCTGGACGTTGTCTTCTTGAGCACCCCAGGAAGGGGAGGGAGGGATTTATCCTTGTCGAGATACGGCTTCTTGGAAGAAAGAACGTGGGAAGGAACATGGGGATCTTGCTGTGGAGTCACTGGTAATGGGATGCTCATGGTGGACGCCGTCGAAGGGGTGTTGATTTGCGAATCCCCTGACCGTCGGTTAAACGTCGACTCGGCAGACGAGATAGACTCGCGTGTAAACGACCTGCGAAGAGGAGACCGCCCAGAGTCATCCTCTGGACTCGTTACTTCCAACGAAAAGGTCGACCCATTGCTGGCGATGCTCAGTCGGCCGCCAGAACTGGCAATACTATGTCGACCACCCGAGCTGGCGACACTATTGCGCGTTGATGCACTGGCACCACTTCTCCTCTGCCATGCAGTGGGAGGATTCGATGGCTTGCGGTGGCGAAGCGCCCAATCGGAGGTATCCTTCATAACCTCCTCATCATCTTCCATAGGGGGACCATCAAATCCGAACCCAAACCCTGCATCATCATACAGTGTGCCACTGCTGTACGATCTTGACAGTGGATGGGGGCGTGATGAAGTCGAAAAGAAAGATGATGCGGAGGAGCGCCGAGATAGATTGAGCGTCGATAAACGCCTCGTAAGCGGCGATGGTGCGTCCTCATCCTCACTAGCATTTATATATCAGCACCGGACTATAACCGTTTTAAATAGGACTGACCTGTCACTCCAACCAAGGCCCGTAGTCAAACCTACACCTCCCCTCAACAGTCTGCCATCTCGATGACGAACCCTTCGCATAGGGGTATCGCGCTCGTCCTTCATCACCCCAGATTTGGTTGCTGCAACAGGCACTCGTCAATACACATACTCGGCACACATTACTAAACACCCACCAGTCGACATGGAGCTCATTGGGCGACCGTCACCACCACAATGAGGAGTGGTAGCCCTCGAGTCCCCCTGCAGCAACTTTGAATTGGAGGACAGCAATCCATGCCGAACCATCAAGTGTCTAAAGAGGCAAAGTTCAGGAAAAGAGATGTGATGGACAGAGTCGACCACTTACGGTAAGGGGGTATGCAGGTCAAGGCTTGAATCACTGTCATCTCCATCCGACTCCTTTTCCAATGCCCGCAGCTTCGCTTCGTCCACTTCCACATGGTGGTCCCACTCTCCTCGCACGATATAGTCGAGCGAGTCATCTGGATGAGATTTTTTCCCGATCGTACTCTTCGAGAGTCGCATGGGAGTCGCGAGGACGCCAAATTCGTCTGTATCAGCCTTGATGCTCTTCTCGCTTCTGACACTGCGAAGGCTGCTGACCCGACTTCTCTTGCCGTTCGAGCTCATGCTGAAACTTCGGGCATTCGACAGCCGGATTGGTTTGGGAGTGGATTGGATAATGGTATCGATGTCGGGGCTGGCAGAACGAGCATCATCGGTCGACGCCGACTGGATGCTTCGAATTGAAGAGTTGAGGGTATAGGGTTTTTTGGATCTGGGCGTAGGGGAAATGGGTATGTCGCTTTGGGAGGACGAAGAAGCGCGGATGTTTGCCATTGAACTTGAACGCAGGGTAGTCGTTGATGCTGAAGCTAGGTCGTTATAGGAGTCGGAAGTAGATTGTGAATCTGACATGTCAACAGAAGATGGACGGTTTGAAATAGAGTCGGTTGGGTGTTCAAAGTTGAGGTAGGCTAGACTAGACTTGCGTGCATGGGATGCTGATGTAGGTGGCACCACTGAGCTGTCGCTGCTGCCAGCTGGTCCCCGCGACGTGGGCTTCTCTGATCCTATAGCCTTTGACAGCGGAAGGACGAAAGGTTCGGGATCGTCCTCTTCTTCGTCTTCTACGCCGCTCGCCGCTCCCATGATATCCCGCATATCAATCGACGAAATCGACTCGTTGGCCTGGTGTCGACCCCGTCTGCGCCGTGGACTGAGCGTGGTCGAGTCGCCGTCGTCGTCCGACAGAGGCAGCATGGGGGAAACAACGTCCCTCAGGATCAGAGGTCTCTGACCTGGTTCCTCCTCTTCATCAATCGAGAATGCAATCGATGGGCGGTGCGGACTCGATGCAAGTGAGCCCCTAGTGCCTGGACGCGTCGCGGCCGGCGGGAGAGGGGATGACGGCGGTGCACCATGGCCGTTGCTGGACGTGCTGATGACCGAGTCACGATTGGTGTCGGACCCTGCGAGCGAGTACTTGGAGGAGCGACGAGATCTCGACGACAACAGGAGCAGCTGAAGGGTATCGGCCTCTGAGATCCTGGAAGGGCCCGGGACTGGGGGCAGGGGAACCGACGGCGGGCGTGACGGCGGTGGGTTTGGGCTCGCTGCTGTCGGCGTGAGGGGGATATGGGACGGCGGCACTGGGAACGAGTCGAGCAGCAGGGGGACTGGTGTTTTGCGGGTCGACATGGTGGCAGGTCAAAGACAAGGCGCTGCTGCTGCGTAACGGCCGGACCCGCTCAGCACGATAGCTGGCGGCGATTCTGAGGGCGTTGTCACTGTTCTAAGGTGGTGGTTGTCACTGTGGACGGCGGTGAGCCCGCTGTGCTCGCTGTCGCTGGCGTTGTCGAGAAGGGAAGGAGAAAACAGGCGTTCCTGGCGCAGCGATTTCCGGGTGACATATCAGACTTGCCATCATATTATTTCACACTTCCGAATTCCCATTTCGGCTTAGCGCTTACGATCTCTCTCACCATCTCCTGTCTTTCCCCCAAATCTGACTCCAAATTGGCCCCATTACAGCCTTCCTATTGTCCATACTATGGAGACTAGTGGTGCTGGTTTTTCCTTTTCACATGAGCAGTAACTGCTTCTCGTAAACACCGCAACGAGAGAAGTGGGTTCATCTTCGGCTCTTATTCAGCTTTCCATCAACACCGATAAATGGGCTTCGTGTCCAACACCAGAACAAAGTCCACAGTCAGTTGAGCTGATCAACACCCGGTAGTATTCTAACGGCGACCCTCTACTCGATTACAGCGGGACTGTCATGATGAGCCTACATAACGACTACAGCTTTGCCTTCTGGCCTACGTTGGGAAGAATGGACAGCTTCTCGAGCCCTTCTCGCGTCGTCTTGGCCATCGGTGTGCTCTTCCTCGATTCGCTTCCAACGAAAACATGTGTATATCCACCAACGGCCGCAGGCGAATCCTTCCCTTGCTCGAAAACGCCGACTTCATACGTCACAGAACTGCTTCCCAGCTTGTTGACCCGCAAGCCAAGGTCTAGAACCTGGGGGAAGCCCACCGGAGAGAAGAACTGGCAAGCTTCAGTGCCTTGTCCCAACGAACGATATGAACGGACACACCTGGGCGTATGAAGATACCACTAGTCCAATGAGCGGCGATTCTTTGGGGTTCTGACCGCAATGCTCGATGAGATAGGTGTTCACGATGGAGTCAAATAGGTGATAGTAGATGGAATTGTTCATATGCGAATACTGGTCATTGTCACTCCTATCCGTTGTCGTCTTTAAATAGGCGTTCGATGAAATAGTAGATGTGAAATCTTACGCACCATCGAGTTCTATAGGAGAGAAAGTAACCATAGTCTGAGCGTTTTCGATTCTTGAGGTCGGACATGGCTTTCAAGCGACGTATCATAGGACGTTGACCCGGTTATAAGTGTCCCGATTGCACGCGCCTCACCCCTAACCCCAAGACCACAATCTCAGCGTTTGACTTCCGTGCTTCTTCGCCGTCTTCGCTTGCAGACGACCCATAACCAAGACTTGATAGCAGCGTCGAACGATCCAGTCGGGTCCAATGAGGGTACATAGAAAACAAGAAAAGCAGGGGATACTTAAATAAGGGATCAAAGTGGGGTTAGGGTTCTGGCACGTTACGCGTTTGAATGACGCGTAATTGAAGGTTGATCCTGAACCTCGACCACGACAATGGAAACGTCCTTCGCAATCACTGGCAAAGGCTACACAATCGTCGCCGCAGACACAACCGCAGCAAGGTCAATCGTCAAGATGAAGATCGACGAGGACAAAATCAAAGTCCTTGGCCCTCATCTCCTCATGGCATACTCTGGAGAACCAGGTCGGTTCTATCGCCCATCCATATCACCTCCAAAGATTAACAACTCGACCAGGCGATACCGTACAATTCGCTGAATATGCGGAACGCAATATCCGATTATACCAGATTCGCAATACCTATGCTCTCCGTCCATCAGCAGCAGCTTCATGGATACGACGCGCTCTCGCAGACTCTCTGCGCTCCAGGAACCCCTATAGCGTCAACCTTCTTCTCGGTGGATACGACACCGCAACACATGACCCACACCTCTACTGGATTGACTATCTCGGCACCATCACTCGTGTGCCTTTTGCAGCGCACGGGTACGGCGCTTACTTTGCGCTCAGTTTGCTCGATAGGTGCGTCTGTCCTCTGCTTATCCAATGACCAGCATGCCCAGATCATTTTGTCAGGTACCACAACCCCGAAGCTTCGCTCGAAGAAGGCCTGGAGACGCTCAAACGCTGTATCGACGAAGTGGCGAAGCGATTAGTCGTGTCGCCGGGCAAGTACAAAGTGAAGGTGGTCGACAAGGATGGTGTTCGAGAAATCGAGATTTGATCAATCACATTTCCATTCATTCCACATGTATTTCTAGCAACAGAGGCCTAATTTCACAACCGGTGTGCCCTGGCTGACCGACAGTGCTAATCGAGGTGAAAGTGGTCACTGCATCGTCCAAGCTCGATCAGCCATCGATTCGTCGCTGCAGCAACACCAGAGCCAACGAGCGCGGGATGTAGGCACCGGTTTGACTCGACAGGATGGTGCTACACGGCGCGCATCCTGGAAAAGACGACGAACAGCCTAGCTTGCCAGAGAGAACAAGGAGGGCCGGGGCTTAGACGAAGATACAGAACCTTCCCCTGTCGCTCAGATCGGAGAGGACATATCTGTTCTGAAAACCAGAGCCGGTCACCCATTGACGGCCGGGTGTCCTCTCGAGAGATGGATTTGCGATGGAGCAGTAAACTCGAGCTCAAGGACGACAGTATGACTGGAACTGACACTCAGGAACGATACACTCGCCCGCAACCACGCGCTGGACCATCTTCGCTCTCCGGACAGACTTGCTCATTGATCTGTCTTGTCTTCTTCATGGTTGAGACACCCGCCATACGCGCTCTGTGCGTCATTTAGAGTGACGCAGCCATACGCCCCTGGACTGCGGCTTTCGTGTCGACGCTACCATGATCTCCGATGGAATGAAGATGGTTTAAACCATCAGACAACAGTCTGTGCACGACTCCTAGCTTCACGGCAACAACAACATTGCCCACATACGACCTTCGTGCGCTATCCCTTCGATCTTCACCGTGCACAGTTTGCTTGTTCTTACCAACACTATTGTTTACATGATTACATCGTCCAGGGCTGCCGCTGAGCATGTTCGTCCATAAACCGCCGTCAGTTGTAACGAGAATTCTGACCTCCATGGCGGGTCGGACGGAATAGGTCCCCAAATGTGCTCCTCTTGTTGAAGGTGGAACCTCGACGAGAAAATCAAGCGCAAGTCCAGATCATAGATGGGGATCTGGACGCCTG